TGTGTATATGTGCATGTGTATCTGTGTATGTGTAGATGTGTATGTGTATCTGTGCATGTGTATATGTATGCGTATGTATGGGTATGTGTATGTGTATGTGTGTATGTGTATCTGTGTATCTGTGTATCTGTGTATGTGTATGTGTAGATGTATATCTATGCATGAGTATATGCATATATATATGTGAATATATATATATATATGTGTATGTGTATGTGTGTATGTGTATCTGTGTATCTGTGTATGTGTAGATGTATATCTATGCATGAGTATATGCATATATGTATATATGTGAATATATATATATATGTGAATATATATATATATATACATATATGTGTGTATGTATGTGCATGTGTGCATACATGGAAGTCCGTGTGTCTGTCTGTATGGGTGGATACGTGCGTGAGGTTTGCATGCATGCGTATGTAGAAAATGGTGCACTTGTGCGAATGTGTGCCGGCGTCATTGGATCTCATCCCGCTGCCGTGTTTGGGGGTTTTTTGTGCATCGGCATTGAGTGCATGCGCGCTTTGCTGCGATGATGGTGCGTTGGCTGCAGCTTCGGGATAGGCTGTGTGGCTTCTTTTTTCTCTGTCTTGACGGACGCGATTTCGGATGCTCCACGCCATGCGAGCGCGCTTGCGCAACTCCCTGTGGTGTCTCTCCTGCTGGCGTCTCTGCATTCGTCTCATCTGCGTCGGCACTTGGCCGAGAATTACCAGCAGCAGCAGGGAGACAGTCAGCAGCAGCAGCAGGAGAGAGGACTGCTGCTGCGCCGGCAGCAGCTCGCTCAGCAGTGCGTCTTGCTGCACGAAGGAGCTCTCAATGCGTTGGGAGCTTTTCTTACATCTCTCGCTGCACATTCTGCTGGACTGCGGGCGTTGCGTCAAGACAAGGCGATGGAGTTTGTCGAGAGCGAGTTGCAGCAGCTTTCCCAGCGAGCTATTGCTGGAGAGGCTGCTCAGCTTCAGGGGAGGCTTCGTCCTGCTCTACCGCGCTCTGCAGAGGCGTCTGGGGAGCAGCAGCAGCAGCGGCAGCAGCAGCAGCGGCAGGAAGCTGCGGCTGCTGCGGCTGCAGGAGCAGCTGGCTCTGAAGGCGCAGTGTCGGCAGGAGCAGGAGCAGCGAGGGCAGTGGAGGCTTCCAGTGCAGCTGCGGGGGGGGAAGAAGAAGGCGCAATTCTAGCAGCACGTCCAGCAGGAGCTGCGGTGGGTGGAGTGGCAATAAGTGGCGATGAGGCAGCTGCCATGCGGGCCGAAAGGGATGGCTTGTTGCTGTTGAAGCAGCAGCTGCAGTTGCAGCAAGAGGACGTCGTGGCAGCCTCTCAAGGCAGCTTCCTGCCGCACAGAGGGAGCGGTGTCTCCTCCAGCCTGCCCTTCACGCCATGGGCTGCCTGTTCACTTCTTGTGCATGTAGCTGCCTCTGAAGATGTCGTTCTACTGGACCGCTTTGGAGAGGCTGCTGCTGGGGTAAGCGGCCTCTTGCCTCTTTAGGCTGCCTACCTGCCTGCTTGCTTGCATGCATGCTTGCATGTCTGCCTGCTCGCTTGCTTGCTTGCCTACCTGCTTGCCTATCTGCCTGCTTGCATGCCTGTCTGCTTGCCTACCTGCTTGCCTACCTGCTTGCATGCATGCTTGCTTGCCTATCTGCCTGCTTGCATGCCTGTCTGCTTGCCTACCTGCTTGCATGCTTGCTTGCATGCATGCTTGCATGCATGCTTGCCTCTCCATAGGGGCTTAATCAACGCCTCCATAGGCTTGCCGGTGCTCTTAGGGTGCAGCGGGGGGTATTGCCGTCTTCCTTTATAGTACGCTGATCGATAGCTTCCTGCTGGTGTGCATATAAATAAATAAATGTATATGTATATATATAAACTGTTCACAGCAGGTGCTGCTCTCCTGGCTTTGTTGGAGAACGAGGTGGCTGCACAAGCATGCATCTTCTCGAGGGTGTGACTGTGTCTCCTTTTTGGTCTCAGCTGGGGACGGCTCTTGATGAGGTTCTTGGAGCAATAACGAATGCCTCGGGAGCGACGTCGGATTCTCTGGGAGGTTCGGAGGCGAGGGATACGTTGGTGCTGCAGTCGCTGCTGCTGCTGCAGCAGCTCATCCTCGCAGCGCAGAAGCTGCCGCCTTGGAAGCCAGTTGCACCCGAAGTTGCTGCAGAGGAGACGCGCAAACGAGCAAGGCAGCGTCCTATGGATGTCTCGGATCTGCAGGTGAGGAAAGATGCAGCTGCTGCTGCTGCGAGAGAGATTCTTCGGAGGCGCTGTACACGGCACGCACTTTGGGTGCAGCTGGAGAGAGACAGAGAGATAGATTGAGAGAGAGAGGTAGATAAAGAGGTAGATAAAGAGATAGAGAAAGTGGGATATAAAAGCTGTGTTATCTCGAAAAAAGCGACCGCTGCTGCTTTACGGAGGATGCGCTGCGACGCGCGTGCTTCCTTTTCATGACTTATTCTCCGCAGTGCAGCAACAAGGAACCTGTTTCTGCAGTGTGTATATGCTTTCCTGTGTGTGTGCCTGTGTGTGTATGTGTTTATATGCGATGTTTATAGCTGTATATGCGTGTATGTGTGTATGTAACTGTGTGTATTTAACTGTATGTGTGTATGTAACCCTGTGTATGTGTGTATGTGTATGTGTTTATATGCGATGTGTGTAGCTGTATGTGTGTGTATGTAACTGTGTGTGTGTAACTGTGTGTGTGTATGTAACCCTGTGTATGTGTGTATGTAACTATAAAACCCTGTGTGTGTATGTGTGTATGTGTGTGTGTACGTAACTGTGTGTATAAATGTGCAGCTGAGGGGATCTTCTTCTGACTGGTTGTTAGATCGATTAGCGAATACGGGTCGCTTTTTGTCGGCGTTTTTGGCATCGACGGAGACGCAGCGCACATTTGTGACGCGTGGAGGTATTGTGTTGCTGTTGCAACTTTGCGACAGCACCTGCTTGCCTCCAGCGTTGCTGTGTCTGTTCCCCCAGCATCCCCTCGTCCAGGTGTTGCGACACGCAGCTCCGTATGATTCCACGCTGCAGCAGCAGGCAGTGCAGCAGCTGTTGCTCGATCGGATGCTCTGCGCGTTGCAGCGCTTGCTAACCCTCAAGCAGCGCTGGCGCATGCGGGGTTATTGGCCGTTCGCTGAGCAGCGGCAAAGCGTGGCAGCAACGCACCCTCCAGCCTCTTCAGGTGTGCTTCCACAGCCGCTTAGAAGTATTCCAAGAACGGAAAGAAAGGAGCTCGTCTTCGCCTTGCACGCTTGCTGCAACGCCACCACCCTCATGCTGTCTTTACACCGCGAGCTTTGCCAGGCCTATGGCACGACGCCTTCCCGCGTGCTGCCTTTTGCGCAGCAGCAGCACAGTCACCAGCTGCTGCTGCTGAATTTGAGTCAGCTGCTGCTGCTGCTGCAGCCGACCGTCCCCTGGCTGCTGCGGCTGCTCTACGCGTGCGCGACGCCTGCGGAAGGCGAAAATCCCTCCCTCCTCAACCAGAAACACAACAGTCACGAGCACCCCTCCGTGAGGGCGAGTAGACTCCTGCACGAGGAGCAGCAGCAGCAACAACAACAAAATAAAGGCTCGGCTGCACAGGCAGATCAGCCTCTGTCCAACAACGACATGCTTTGGAGTTCTCTAGGGGAGTTCGCGTATTCTTCGCCTCCGCCGCTCCCCTCAGGCTTCAGCAACGCTCGAAGAAACAGCGACAACAGCGGCTGCTGCAGCAGCAGCAGCAGCAACAGCAGCAGCAGCAGTAGTAGCACCAACGACGACGGCTGTAGCAGAAGCGGTGGAAGCAAGAACGCTTTGGGCAGTGTATCGAAGTTTGTATCTGATGAGACTGCAGACAGTCCAGTGGTTATTCAGGAGCTGCTGCGCGCGGCTTGTCTTACGTGTAGAAACTTTCTGTGCATGGTGAGCATTGCGCTTTCTTCTTCATCCGCTGCTGCTCAGCCTTTGGTGCGCTGTGCCACACGAAAGGCATGCATGTCTTGGAGCTGCCGTTCGGCTTGCTTTTGTGCCGCAGGTGAGCAGGCAGATCAATGGAGGCGGGCTGAGGATGGGACGAAAATCTCCGCAGCAACAGCAAATGGCATCAGCGCATCTCTTCCTCATTTCGGATACTGCACGAGGACTGCTGGATTGTACACCTGCAGTGCCTCTTCCAGTGTCTCCGCTTCTTGACCAGCTGCCGCCTGCCACCGCTGCAGCTGCAGACGGCTGCAGCAGCAGCAGCTCTAGCCCAGCACTGTACACACACCCCGAGGCAGCGGCTGTTGCAGCGAACGCTGCGCGCGCAGCAGAAGCTGCACAGGCGTGTAACTTTCTCACCGGCAGCTGCTTGGATGCAATGCAAGTCGACAGCAGCTCTCGCAGCAGCTCTCGCAGTAGCAGCAGTGTGTGCTGCATAGAGGGTATGAGTGTGGCTCAGTCTCTGGCGTATTTGGCTGACGTGTGCGACATACTGTACAAGCTGCACGTCGACGAAAAAAATAGAGGCGTGCTCATGATTCTTAGCTTTGATCTTTTTCACAAGGTAAAGGCCGCTATGCAGCAACAGCAGGGGCAGACTTCTGCTGCTGTGCGCAGCTGTAAATGAAGCTCAGGAAGGATTTTTGTGGGTGTTTACCGAGGGGGCGAACATCTGTTGCTCCGACAGCAGCGGCAGAACCTGCTGCGGAGCGTGGCTTGTTTGTGTATGTCTGTGTGTGTATGTGCGTCTGTGTGTGTATGTGCGTCTGTGTGTGTATGTGCGTCTGTGTGTGTATGTGCGTCTGTGTGTGTATGTGCGTCTGTGTGTGTATGTGCGTCTGTGTGTGTTTGTTATTCCTCAGGTTGGTGGCTTATCGGCCTTGCTGCGGTCGCTGCATTACGGCGCAGCATGCAACGTGGCTGTATCTGCACTTCTGGCGACTCGTGTCTGCACGTGCTGCAACCCCGTTGCAGCGCTGCAGGCTTCTTCGAAGGCATCATCTCCTTGTCATCCTAAGTCGCAATGGCATGCGCAAGAGCAGAAACAGAGGCAGCAGCAGGAGCAGCCGCTTTTAGAGGCTTTAAAGCCGTGCGCGCATGTGACGATCCGGAAGATGTTGCCGCTTTCGTTGTTTGCTGCCGTAGTTGATCCCTCGTTCAACCGATGCTCGCAGCAGCAACGGAGGCAGCAACTGGACGAGCAAGAGCAGCGGCATGCAGCCTTCCTGAGCTGGGTAGAAGCTGCAGCGGCTCGCATCGCTGCAGAGTGCCCCTCAGTGCAGCAATTGGTGTATCTCCGCAACGTCGCTGCGCGCCAACTGCAGAGCTGCCTGACTTACCTCGATAGAGTCACCTCGTGGAAGCGATGCTTGAACTCAGCCTTCACTGCCCATGCTCTCAGGTTTGTCGGCGAGAGAGTATCAGTAGAGGGAAGGCTGGGGTGTGGCAGGAGTAGTGGTAATAGTGGTTGTGGGGAGGAAAAGAGGGGAAAGATTGGAAAGGCGGTAAAGGTACTTGTCTCTGTGGTGGTTGTTGTATGGTCTTTTCGAGATAGTAGTAGGAGTAATGCACTGCTTTTAAACTCCCTGTGGGGTTTTGTGCTGATGCTGCTGCAGGCACTACACACGACCCTCTTACTGCGAACCTGTGGCGCATGACGACACGCAGCCGCCTGCTGCTCCCCCAGCCAGCGAAGGAGAGCTGGCATCGCCTTTAGGAGTGGAATTCTGCTCCTCCGAACTAGCAACTAGCACCACCAGCAACAGCAACACCAGAAACGATGTGCGCAACAAAGTAATGCGGTTCAGATTCTCCCTAGAGAGCCTCTCGGCTGCCTACTCAGAGCTCCATTTCCGTTGTTGGACTCACCAAGACAGCACACCGCTGCCGTTCGGTGCAGGGGACGTGCCTGAGCAGCAGCAGCAGCAACAGCAACAACAGCGTCTGCAGGAGCTGCTGCTGCAAATCATTATCCACCCGGATATCGCGTGCATCGACGTGGTGGGTCTGTTGCGCAGCGTGGGCTGCGAAGCCGCTGCGCATGCGTATGTGTGGTGGTCGTTCGTCTCCCGGTGCGGCTCGTGCATAACGGAGAGGCAGGCTCAGCAGCACATTCCTTTGCAGAAGCAGACAGCCTTAGGCGCTGTCGGAGACGGTGGCGGGGGGGGGGCGGCAGCAGATCCAGCAGCGGCAGCCGGCTTCATCCCGCGAACGCTTGGTTCCGCTTACCGCAGAGGAGGCAGCTCAGCGAGCATTGCGAAGCGGCGAGGCAGCAGCCGCAAGGGGCAGCAGCATTTCTTTTGGGGGGGTTCCTCCTCCTCTATCGAGGATGCCTCGGAGGATGACAACGGCGATGTCTCGAAACAGTTGCAGCTCCTCGTCGCCCCCTGTCTTCAGCGCACTATTTTGTTCTTCCCCCGCATCTTCTATCACCTTCTGGATACACAGGTATGTGTGTACATATGTACGTAAATATGTAAATGTGTATTCATGTATATATGTAAATATGGATTCATGTAAATATGGATTCATGTAAATATGCATTCATGTAAATATGGATTCATATAAATATGGATTCATGTTAATAGGTTTTTATGTAAATATGGATTCATGTAAATATGAATAATGCCTTTATGCAGTGGGGGGTTCGCGTGTCTCGCGAGTAAAATGGTGGAGGCTGTATCCCAGGTGTTGTTTTTGGGAAGTTAGGTGTATGGTGGCTAGGAGGATGAGTTGGGGGTATTTAGTCGGCACAGCACGGTGCTTTTATTCAAGCGTCATTGCATTGCGTCTCCAGTAGAGGCGGCAGTGAGTCTAGCGGCCATGGCGTTGCGTTGCATGCAGCGGCAAGCAGCAAGCAATTCTGTGGGGCTGGGAGGGACGTGTGCGCGTGTTTGGGGTGTACAGACACCGCAGCGGCGGCAGCAGCTGCGGGGAGTGTATGGCGGAGGCTCTCTCGCAGAAGGAGGCGGAGTGTCTCAGCAGCATTCCCATCGCGGAGGTCTGGGAGACGGTGGCGCAGTGACGGCTGCTGCTGCTGCTGCTGCTGCTGCTGCAGCGGCAGCGATCCAGCAGCAGCACCAGGAGCAGCAGCAGCTGCAGCAGCAGCAGATCGAGCAGCTCGTGGAGATGGGCTTCCCGCGGTCAGACGCGCAGCGCGCTCTTGAGGCTGCAGCAGGTCGGGGAGTCGAAGTGGCGATGGATTTGTTGCTCGACATGCAGAGGAGAGACGCTGCATCGGGAACGCGAGACGACAGCAATCGCAGCAACAGCAACTCGGTTGGCAGCGAGTCTTCTGGCGGCAATCCAGCGGCGTTCGCTGCAGACGCTGCAGAGCCGCAGTCAGCACCGCCACCTCCCACGGAAGAGCAGGAAAGAGGAGGAGCAGGCAGCAGCAGCAGTAGCAGCAGTAGCAGCAGCAGCAGCAGCAGCAGCAGCAGCAGCAGCAGCAGTAGCAGCCTTCCTGCAGCAGGGCTTCCTGCAGCGGACGACACGGCTGTGAGCAGACGGGATGGCAGCAGTCCTCTTCCTCCGGAGATGATGCATGCATGCGGATCGCTGGGGAGGGCAGTTGAGGAGAGCACGGCTGGCAGCAGCAGCAGCGTTACAGAGCAGAGGGAAAATCCTCTCGCGCGTGCAGCAGAATGTCTGCGAGAGGAGCTGTCTGCAATTCCAGAAGGTCCTCTGCCTTCCGGCTTGGTGCGCGCCGCTTTGGAGAGAGCAAGCTACGCGGCTCCCTCTCTGCCGCTGTGTCGCTCTTCTCTGCAACTGGCAGGAGACGGCGAGCTTCGTTGGAGCTGTGGAATGCTGCGAGAACAACTTCAGAGACGCAGTGCAGCGGTGTCTCCTCCCCCCCCCCGCGAGTTGGTGCATGCTCTGCAGCGTATTGCCAGCGCCAACAGCCTCCACGCGTTGGCGGCAGCAGCAGCGTCGCAAGAGGGACCGTCACAGACAGACGGCATGCGGCTCGACACGCAGCACACCGACCAGCCTCCCCCCTTCATCGACGAAATCATCACAGACGCCGCCGCAGAGGCTCGATGGGCAGCGCTGATGCAACAGGGACGGCTCGTGCAGCCTGTGGTGTCGCAGCAGCTGCAGCATGAGCTGCAGCAGCAGCACGAGCAGCAGCAGCACGAGCAATCAGAGCAGCCAAGGGGGAGGAGTATCCCACAGAGCACACGCGATGCCACGGAGTTGGAGGTTCTTCTGCGAAAATCCGACGAGGAGATGCTGCTCTACCAGCAGAAGCAGGAGGACTATGGCGGGTATGGCGAGCTGCCAGCGCGCACGGGGGGACGAATGCAGCAGCAGCAGCAGCAGCAGCAGCAGGAAAAGCAGCAGCAGCAGGAGCAGCAGCAGCTGCTGCAGAGGCGCTTACTGCACGGTCACTTCAGCGATGCCTTCGCTTTGGCTCTGGGAGCTTTGTTGCGTCGGCGGCTGCTCTCCGACATTATTGCAACTGCGTGTGTCTCTCCGTTGGGGGTGCCAGGCTTGTGTGAGCTTTTCGTGAAGCTTATATGCTCGCCTTCAGATCTTCGACCCTCTCCTCTGCAGCAGCAGCAGGAGCAGGAGCAGGAGCAGCAGCAGCGGCAGCGGCAGCGGCAGCGGCGGCGAGCAAGTGCTGCGGAAGCGGCTGTAGAAACCTTGCAAGCAGTAGAGGCAGCAGCACCGGTAGAAAGAGAAGCAGCAGCTCGGCAGCAGCAGGCGCAGCGGCAGCAACCCTCTTGGGAGCTGCTTGATGGAGATATCGACAGCGCCCTCGCCGACATCAACACCATTGCGAATGTCGACAACACACCTAGCAGCAGCAGCAGCAGCAGCAGCAGCAGCAGCAGCAGCAGCAGCAGCAGCAGCAGCGTCGTTCGGAGTTCGAGGCCGTTAACGGCTGTCGAGCAAAACGCTGCGGCTGCAGTAGAGATGCTGGTGTTGCGGCTTGTGTCTCTGCGTGCTGTTGGGCAGCATATCTTGAAGGTTGATTGTACTTTGCTTGGTCGTCGCAATCCTTTTGCTCCTGGCATAGGGAGGGGTATCTCGAATTCGAGCGAGCGGCAGCGCGCCGTTGGCGTATACGTCTGCATGCGCGCGCAGCAGCAGCTGTATTGCTGCAGCTTCTTCTTGGCGCACCTTTTGCATCGGCGGCTCTGTTGGAAACGTCTGTTGCAGCAGTCCGCTGAGGCAGCCCTCCTGCAGTGCGAGCCAGGCAGTGGGAGTGCAGCAGCGGCAGCCGCCGCGGCAGTCCATCCCATGTCTCTCTTTACCGCGCTTCTGTGCAGTTTTACTGCGTCCAACAGTCACGTGACTGCCTCAGCAGCAGCCGCTGGCGGCAGCGAAGCCTTGCTAAGCGACGCAAAGGGCTGGTATCTGTACCCTGAGATGCTGGACGCTGCTGGCGAAGCCAGTGGCTCACCAGGAGGGGCGGCATGCGCAGGAGGCTGCAAAGCCTCTGCGCTGCTCCCTGTACCCGGCTGGTGTCTGCTGAATCTTCCTCCCTCTCCCTATCTGTCTGTTCAAGAGCTGCGAGTGGCTGCGGCGGTGCCTAAGTATGGCCTCCTGCGCCTCTCTCCTGTCGAGGGATTTGACGCGCAAAAGCAGCAGCTGCAGCAGCAGCAGCGAGGCTTGCCAGCAGTCACTGCTGTCTTCGCAGCAGACACTCCAGGCGGGCTTGCAGCTCCCCCCGTAGCCTACCCGCCTGCCTTCCTTCTCCCCGCTCTGGTGTGCATTGAGGAGATGACGCAGATGTACTTGCTGCAAGACACGGCAGCGACACACGACTCGCAGCAGCAGGAGCCGAGCAGCGGCGGCAGCTGCTGCAGTAGTGCTCCTGGAGGCGATTCTTTCAGCTCGATTGTCAGCGCAGCCGCTGCTGCGGGTGCCACCACGAATGCGAGTCTGGGCAGTCCGTTGCAGGCTGCAGTGGGAAACTCGCAGCAGAGGAGCATGGGAGCTCCGAAAGGCTTCCGTCCTGCGTGGGGAAGTAGCAGTAACAGGAGCGACATCGCGTCGAGCACTGGAAGTGCGGAGGGGGACCACTTAGAAGAGGAGCTGCTGCGCTCTTTTCCTGCAAGCGAGCAGCGGCAGGTGATTGCTGCGTGTCTAGACTTGTTGCTGCTCTTCCCCGCAGTGGACGGCGACATGGTGTTGGCTGTTCTTCAGCTCCTGCGACGTCTCACAGCCATCTACAGCAATGCGCTGATGCTGCTGCTGCATCAACCGAAGGGCCGCTACCGTTCTGTGCCGACTGCGACGAAGCCGCCGCAGCACCAACAGCAACTGCAGCAGCAACTGCAGCAGCAACTGCAGCAGCCTTTAGGGTGGGGGTTAGGCGTCTTGCTGCGTCTCCCTAGGACTGCAAGCTGCACGGGTTTTGTGTCACTGCTCTGTGCGATTGTCACAAATATTTTGGAAGAGCCTTCTTTGATTGCAGCCTGCGTGGAACGTGGTCTTAGGGTTGCTTTTGGTGCGGGAACAAGGTTTGCGCGTCAAACGCATCTTCGGGTGAGAACGACCTTTGGGTAATAGCAGCTGCAGCAGCTGCGGCTGCGAGGTGTTTGCGCAGTGTTCGGTAATAATGGTTGTTGTTGTTGTCTGCTTTTAGACGATCCTCTGTGCGTGACGTAGGCATGCGAATAACTGCTGCTTGCTGCTTGCTGCTTGCTGCTTGGCGGGGAGGGAGACGAGGCATCATGCATGCATGCATGCGGGGGGAGGAGGAGGGAGGGGGGAACCTGCTTTTTCTGCTGCTGTTCCTGCTGCTGCTGCTGTTCCTGCTGCTGCTGCTGTTCCTGCTGCTGCTGCTGTTCCTGCTGCTGCTGCTGCTGCTGCTGTTCCTGCTGCTGCTGCTGTTCCTGCTGCTGCTGCTGCTGTTCCTGCTGCTGCTGCTGTTCCTGCTGCTGCTGCTGTTCCTGCTGCTGCTGCTGTTCCTGCTGCTGTTCCTGCTGCTGCTGCTGTTCTTGCTGCTGCTGCTGCTGCTGCTGCTGCTGCTGCTGATTAGGCTCAAGGCCGTGTGTCTGCTGTCTGTTTTTTCGTGCATTTTTTCCTCTTGCTGCTCTTCATAGACTTGTGCAGCCTCTCTGTGGACTGACTGTTTTGGCTTGTGGTACTTTCGCATGGTAAAGGTGTAGACGCGCATCGGGAGTTTGCGGTGTGCTGCAGTGCACGCCGTCTCTGTCTCTGCTCACATGCGTGTGCAGGTTCATGGAGGTTCTCTGTGGGGTGAGATTCCCCCCCCTTTGCTGCCAGTAGACTCCGTTTTACAGTCCATTGCTCCCCTTCTGACGCGCAACCCCACTCTTGTCGAGCAAGTGCTGAGCTGCTGCTGCAGCATCCACAGGCAGGTGTTGCTGCCACACGATTCCCAGAAGCAGCAGCAGAAGCAGGAAGGCGAAAAGGCGCCTTCCGAGTCGCATGCAACGCAAGCCTCTGCAGCAGCAGCGCCAACGACTGCCTCCGAACGGCATGCAGAGAGCACCACCATCGCTGCTGCTCACAGCAGCAACAACGAGCGTTCCGGGTGTACTGACACTGCGACGGCAGTCGTTTCCGACCCCTTGCCGGCAGCAGCAGCAATGGCAGCAGCCACTGCGACTCCTGCCGCTCAAGGGGAGGGCGGCAACAGCAACACCAACGGCAGCAATGATACAAGCAGCATTGTACCACGCCAGTTTTACCCCAGCAGCATCTTTGTGGGGCCTAAGGCAGGGTACCTCTTTGGACGTGGCTCAAAGGGTATTGGATATTATTACTGCAGCAGCAACACCGATGAAAGCAGCGGCAGCAATGGCGAGGGAGGCGGGCGCTCATGGCAATGCGCTGACAAGTCCTTCCAAGACGTTCTGTTGGTAGGATTGCTGACGGACGAAAAGCGGCAACAACAACACCAGCAACAACAGCCACAACAGCAGCAGCAACAACAGCAGCAGCAACAACAGCTGCAGCAACAACAGCCACACCAGCAACTGCAGCAGCAGCAACAACAACAGCAACAGCAGCAGCTGCAGCAGCAGCAGCAACAACTGCAGCGCCGCGTGCGGCGGTTGCTGCAGGCAGCCACCAAGCCTCCTGTAGTGGGGCCTGTTGTGTTGTCGGTGTTATTGGATCATTTGATGTTGCTTTTGAATGTGCATGCGGCGACTCTGATGGCTCCCGTGCAGAAACAGTCCCAAGAAGCGCAGCAGCAGCAGCGCGAGTGGAGGCATCTGTCGGAGGTGGAAGACGGTCTTGGGAGCCATGTCGAGAAGCCCAGCTTCCCGTTTGTCGTTACAGCAGATCGTCTGCTGTACATCCTGACGCAGCTGGTGTCTCTGTTTCCACACATGTTGCCGCTGCTGCTGAAGCCTCTGCTGCTTTCGTCCTCCATAGGTGCTGCAGGGCAGGCACAAGAACTCGCCTTCGCAGGCGGCAGCAGCAGCGGAGCGGCGTCGGCGTCTCTGGCTGCTCCTTTGACTGCAAGCCGCAGTGCAGGCCGTTCGCGGCAGAAGCAGCAGCAGCTGCAGCTGCAAACGCCAGCGACGGCATCGAACGGCGCTAAAATGGAGTCTTGCGTCTTCTTGAAGCAGCACTGCCAGCAGCAAGTGGTGCAGCATTACCAGCCGGAGCACAAGCTGTACATGGACACCTCTCCGCCTTGGCCGTTTCGTTCCTCTTTTCCAGAGTTGCTGCGCTGCACTGGAAGTGACGTTCGGCTGCTGCTGCATCACGGATCGAAGGAGACGCAGCAGCATCAGCAGCAGCTCCACTGCGGAGGGGTGTCTCCGCCTCGCCTGTCGGTTGTTGACATTCTGCTCTACGAAGTGCTGCCGCGTCTGCTTTCCATCGCGCAGATTAGCGCCTGCCAGACGTACGCCGCTACTGCGACAACCGCGCAGCAGCAGCATCAGCAGACACTGCAGCGCAAAGCCGCGGCAGGGATGCTGAGTCAGTTCTTGAACTTACTTGCCTCCATGGGCAGCAGCAACGCAGAACTGCGGCTGGTGCTTTTGCGGCATGTAGTGGCTTTGTTGCATGCGGCTAGGGGGCCCACAAGTGCAGTTACACCCGGTGAGAGCAGCGGAAACGCAGCGGCTGACGCCATCGAGGCACTGAAGGGAGGCGAGGAGCTGGACGTTGGCACTGTCTCTGTGCTAACTGGTCTGCTGCAAAGGCTGCTTGTCAGCTGCCCTCCAGTTAGTGCTGCGTCTACCCACGTGCAGACGACGCGAGGAGGCAGTGCAGCTGCCGCAACGGACATAACCTCCGGGTGTACAGACACCTCGCGGCCTCTCCATCATCATTCTCGCCCGGACGGAGATGGGGGGGGGGGAGACGCTGGCGTTTCTGAGGCTTCGGGAAATCAGCTGCAGCATCAAAATAACGGCAGCAATAGCAATAATAGCAGCAATAGCAGCAATAGCAATAATAGCAGCAATAGCAGCAATAGCAATAGCAGCAGCGCCACTGGGCGCAATAGGAGTGGCGAGCCTCTTGCGAGCGGTGCAAGTGGTAGCGGCAGTAGTAGCAGCAGCAGCAGCAATGCAGCTAGCGGCTGTGGCGGGTCGAATGATGGCGAGGATGGGAACGATCCTCCGTCGAACCGGAGTGGTCGATTAGCAGCAGATGCAGCGGGAGAAATCGCGAATTCTGCAGTTGAGGGGCAGCAGGTGGCTCGCGTGATACCATCGCTTTCTACTAAGGAGCAGCGAGGTCTAAGGGAGCTGCTGGCTGGGCTTTTGTTGCAGCTGAATCTCCAAGCGGAAGACAGCTCGTTTGTGGCTTCGTGCATCATCAGGTGTCTGTTGCATCTCACGAGCAACCCCAACGCGACGCTGTCGGGTGCACACGGGAAGCAGCAGCAGCAGCAGTTGCAGCAGCAGCAGATGCAGCAGCAGCAGCAGCTGTTTGGAGCAGGACGAGTTTCGCCTCGGAGTCCTCTGAGTGCGGGAGATGGCGGCACAGCTGCGGATGTGGCAAATGCAGCAGCAGCAGCTGCAGCAGCAGCTGCTGCAGTGGAGAATGATGAAGAGAGTGACGATTTGGACGGTGCAGAAGAGCTGGTAGACACGGAGGGGGAGGAAGACGATGAGGAAGACGATGACTTGGAGTTGGTTATTGACGGCGGAAGCGACAGCGGGGATGACTTAGGGGACAGAGACTCCATAGAGGAGGAGGTAGAGAACGACGACGAGGAGGCAGACAGCGAGACAGGGCTGCCTTTGGTCACTAGGGAAGATGGAAGAAGTGGCATGATGCAAGGAGCTGAAGAGGCAGAAGATGTGCATCCTGAGGAAGAAGATGATGATGACGATGATGATGACAGACTTGATGGCCTCTCAGATCTTGACGGTTTAGGCGAGGATGATGATGATGATGATGATGATGATGATGATGATGATGATGATGCAGATTCAAATGACGACGAGGAATATGGCGGTACGACCTCTCACGGGTGCACATTTATATATATATATATTTACATTTACATATATATATATATTTATTTATGTTTATATCTTGGACGGACTGCTACACACTGCGACGGCTGCTTTTGCCGTCATGTGCTGCCTCTGCGACCACTTCCAATTTCATAGCCGCTTCCATATATATATATATGCATATGTATATCGCTGTGCTGTGTTTGTGAGTCTTTCATGCGATGGGGAAGAAGGAGTTGTGGTAGATGAAAGGAGGACGTAGAGAGGGGCGGCATGCATTTGGGAGTGGGGTGGATTTAGGTGTGCTTGCCACGGAGGTGTTTGGGTCGGAGTAGTTGCAGAATCTTTTTCCACGTGTCTGCATTCTGCGTGAGGTGGTCTTTTATTTGTTCGCTGTTTGCGTGGCACTTGTACAGCTGCCCTCGCGCGCTTGTGCATATTGCGGATTTTTCTTCGTATGTGCTCCAGAAGGAGTGTAGTGGCAACCTTCTCTCTTCTCTTTGTTTTCCGCGTCTATCCGATTGTCTGTCTATCTGTCTGTCTATCTGTCTGAGTGTGTATCTGTCTGCCTGTCTGTCTGTCTATCTGTCTGAGTGTGTATCTGTCTGTCTATCTGTCAGAGTGCGTATCTGTCTGTCCGTCTGTCTATCTGTCTGAGTGTGTATCTGTCTGTCTGTCTGTCTGTCTGTCTGAGTGTGTATCTGTCTGTCTGTCTGTCTGAGTGTGTATCTGTCTGTCTGTCTGTCTATCTGTCTGAGTGTGTATCTGTCTGTCCGTCTTTTTGTCTGTCTGTCTCTACCCGTCTCTCTCTCTCGCTGTGTTTTTGTGCTTTGGTGTTTTGTAGAAGGAACGGATGACGAGGAGAATGAAGGCGTCTCTTCGAGCAGGGGAACCTTCCTAGCTGCTGGGCAGCTTCCTCATGAAATCGATCTTGAATCAGATAATCGCACTCTGCCTCTTGCTGCAGATGATCGTCTCCTAGTTGCGGGGGAAGTTCGCTCATTGGAGGAAGATGACGATGACGAAGAAGATGACGATGACGATGATGATGATGCTCCTAGAATTCGAGTTAGAACTCACTCTTAGCGTGAAGGGAAAATGTAGCATACTGGTGGTGATTGATGTGTCGTGTTGCGCGTGCTATTGATTGCTATGCATGCTTTTGTGTCTCGAACTGTTTTCTTGTTTTCTTTATCTTTCTGTCTCTTTATCTTTATGTGAATCTATATCTCTCTGCCTATGTCTCTCTCTCTCTATGTCTATGTCTATTTATCTCTCTATATCTATCTATCTCTCTCCATGTCTATGTCTATTTATCTTTCTATGTCTATCTATCTCTCTCTATGTCCATCTATCTCTCTATCTCTTTTTCTCTCTCCCTATCTTTCTCTTTCTCTTGAACTGTGTTTTTGTTTCGTGTCTCTCTCGCGGCTTGCCTTGGTATCATTTTGTGTGGTGCTATGGGGAACGCCTCCTCCTTGGCGTGAGATGAAGCCTTGTCGAGCTTTGTATTTCCTCTCCTGCTCGAAAGCTGTGCTTTGTGTGTTGACACTTTCTTGGCACTTCCTTAATTTTTTCGAAGTACACTTCAGAACCACTTACATGCGCCTGCTCTGCCCGTCTTCATGCCCTCCCTCCCACTCCCCCCCTTGGCACGGCAGCTGTCTGTCTGTTTTCTGTCTGTCTATTATCTGTCCATCAATTGTCTGTCTATAATCTGTCTGTCTGTTTTCTGTCTGTCTATAATCTGTCTGTCTGTTTTCTGTCTGTCTATAATCTGTCTGTCTATTATCTGTCCATCAATTGTCTGTCTATTATCTGTCCATCAATTGTCTGTCTATTGTCTGTCCATCAATTGTCTGTCTATTATCTGTCCATCAATTGTCTGTCTATAATCTGTCTGTCTGTATTCTGTCTGTCTATAATCTGTCTGTCTGTATTCTGTCTGTCTATTATCTGTCTTTCTATTATCTGTCTTTCTATTATCTGTCTTTCTATTATCTGTCCATCGATTGTCTGTCCTTTTTCTGCAAGATGCATGCGTCCCTTCTGTGAGCCTCTCCGCTGCTGAACACACCGCATGCCGAGCTGCCTGCCGTGGCGTCGCTATTCTCTCTGCCTGTGTGATCCTCAGGAACGTGGGGAGATCGACTATTTGGATGGCGCCGAAGACGATGAGCTCGACGGCGTGGATATTGTTGATGGTCTTCATGCATTAGGAGAAGCGGCTTCTCAGGAGCCGCTGCTAGGGCATCCGTATTTGCAGGAGTCGCTAGCCGCTCGCGATACTTCTCCTCTTTCCCATCCTCCGCCTCCTCCGCCTCCTCCCCCTGCGCCAGTGTTGCTGCCAACGACAGCTCCATCCTTGGCAGCAGCGGCAGCAGCAGGGGGCCCCTCTGCTGCTGCTGCTGGAGATTCCCCACTTGCGGAGGGAGCGAGAGGGGCCCCTCTTCGCGTAGAGCCTCAGTTGGCGATGCCTCTCGACATAGAATTGCGTCCTGAGCAGCAGCTTGTTGCCAGCAGCCTCGGAATGTTGGCTCCTGAATCCTCCGTGCTCGCAGCGATGGCAGAAGGAATCGAAAGGGAGAGGCAGCAGCGGCAGTCTTCCAGTGACCCTCTGCAGCAACAACAGCAGCAGCAGCAGCAGCAGCAGCAGCAGCAGCAGCAGCAGCAGCAACAGCAGCAGACGCTGCAGGGGGCCTCCTCAGGCTCAAGCAGCAGCAGCAGCAGCAGTGCGGCGGGGAGTCTTTTGCATGCTGCAGCTTCAGCTGTCTCGGCAGCAGCCTCGAGCATGGGTACTCGTCGGGGAAATAGAGGTGTAGGGAGCATCAGCGCGACACTTCGCGTGCGTGGCGCAGGTTCGACGTGGCGAGCTCTGGGAGAGAGTCGAGGCAGCCGCGAAGCGCACCACGTTCTGTCGGGCTTGGGCAGGGGAGCGGCGGCTTTGGTGCTTGCTGAAGAAGACGACGACGAGGAGGAAGACGACGACGAGGAGGAAGAGGAGGACGAGGAAGAGGAAGAAGAGGACGAAGAGGACGAAGAGGAAGAGGACGAAGAGGAAGAAGAGGACGAAGAGGAAGAGGACGAAGAGGAAGAGCAGGGGCAGACAGCGCATGCGTCTGGCACAGCGGCTGCGGTGCAGGCGACAGCCGAGGCTTTGGGAACTCTTAGTTCGGCTCTCCAGCGAGACTCTCGGGGATCGTTTCGTCTGCAGATTGACTTTGGCAGCATTCAGTCTTCGGAAGACGCCGCCGTTCTTCGCTCCGTTCTGCAAGAGGCTGGCGAGAGAGGTCTCGCGATCGCTCCCTTCCCTGCAGCGCATCACCCCGCAGGGGGAGGGGGTCGTCGAGGAGGCATGGGGGGGGGGGGAGGCGCATCAGGAGGAGCAGCAGCAGCAGCAGGAGCAGCAGCAGCAGCAGCAGGAGCAGCAGCAGCAGCAGGAGCAGGAGGAGGGGTAAGCAGTAGCAGCAGCTCTGCGGAGGACGGCGGCGGTTCCGCGCTTTCTCCGCTGGATCCAGATCTTCTCCCGCCTTCTGAGCATCCCCTCTTCGGCGCTCTTCTCATGCGCCGTCCTCCAAGCAGCAGCAGCAGCAGCAGCACGTCTACCACCACCAGCACGACTACGGGGAACCCCTTCGCGCTGTTCAGCAGCAGTGGGGGTGGCAACGCTGGCAACGGCGGCAGCGTGCTCACCACCTCGAGTGGGCTCGCCTTCGGCGACAGGCTGCTCGAGTCGCTCTTCGACGATCTAGCGGGAGGCCTCTTCCGCTCGCCAGTCACTCGGAGGCAGCTGCAGCAACCGCGGGGGGGGGGGCTGCAGCAGCAGCTGCAGCAGCTGCAGCAGCTGCACCACATCAGGACGAGTCGGGAGTCTGACGCTGGGGCTGTGGCTGCAGCAGCGGGCCTGGTGGCTGATCGGCAGCAGCCTGCGTCGGCAGCAGATGCTGCTTCTCCAGCGGCGTCTGCTGCTGCGGCGGCTGCTGCCATGCAGCAAATGCTCAGCAGCTTCGTCCGCGAAAGACTCGAGCAACGCGTCGTGAACCTCATCGAAGTTCACCCGGCTCCCTTGCAGGCGTGCCCTACCCCTGCGCTGCCGTCTGCAGCGGGAACTCCCCCAGCGCGATCTGCAGCCGAGACGGCAGCAGCAGACGCTACGGCTGGAGTCTCCGCAGTCGACAGACACGCGGAAGGAAGGCAACTCGCCCCCTCAGAAGACGACGACGCCATGGCCGTTGAGGGGCCCCTCCCCGAGGCACCAGATGCCGCTGCAGACGCAGCAGCAGCAGCAGCAGCAGCAGCAGCAGCAGCAGCAGCAGCAGCAGCCATACTAACGTCTCCAGCAGAAGAGGCAGCAACAGCAGCAGCAGAAGAGACGACAGCAGCAACAGCAGCAGCAGCGGGAGAAGCGACGACAGCAGCAACAGCAGCAGCAGCGGACCTCATGCCTCCTGACGACTCCCTTGCAACACAAGGCAGCGAATCTTGTGGGGAACCGCTGCAGCACCAGCAATCTCGAGAGGATGGCAGGAGCCGTGGCAGCGCAGGTTTGTATCAGCAGCAGGAGGAGTTGCGAGCTGCAGAGGCGGCAGCGTCACCAGGTGCTGCCCTCAGCGTGCCTGAGGCTTCACTCGACGCAGCACGGGCAGCAGCAGCAGCTGCTGCTGGACGGACAGACGAATCCGACGCTATGGATATCGACACTACGGAAATCCCTCAGCCACCCAGCAGCAGCAGCAGCAGCAGCAGCAGCAGCAGTAGCAGCAGCAGCAGCAGTAGCAGTAGCAGTAGCTGTGAGCCATCGTTGGCAGCGTTGGCACGTGCTCTTGGGCTGTCGGAGGCGTTATTATTGGATGCTGCTGGAGTAGATCCGTCGTTCCTCGAGGCGCTTCCCATGGATTTGCGGCAGGAAATATTGCAGCAGCAGCTTCGGCTGCTCACGCTGGAGGCTATTGCATCGCGTCGCGCTGCGGCTCGATCTGCGCTGACAGGAGGAGGCGAGGCAGCGGGAGGGGAGGCAGCGGCGGCTGCAGAGTTATTCGCCCAGGCACCTCCAGGCGCATCCGCCGCAACGGAGTCTTCTGCCTCTGGAGCACCCCAGGAGACTTCAAGTGGGGGCGAAAATAGTGGTGGCGCGACAGAGTCAGCCGCATCTGCAGCAGGAAACTCGCAGCCCTCGCTTCGAGAAATCCCCGTGGATTTGCTGAATGCGCTGCCTGCTGCAGTCCGTCAAGCAGCAGTTGCGGGGTGTCGCGACAGCAGCACTTCGGGGGACGCATCCTCCGCTGCAGCAGCGGAGGATGCTGAGTTCGACAACGCGACTTTTCTTGCTACTCTGGAGCCGGCGTTGCGGCAGGAAGTGCTGCTCACTGCGGACGCCTCCGTCCTCGAGGCTCTCCCGCGAGAGCTGCAGGTGGAGGCTGCGCTGCTGCGGGAAAGGGCGATGCAGCGGCAGCAGCATCGGCAGCAGCAGCAGCAGCAGCGCGCAGCAGCAGCCGCAGCGGCGGCGGCTGCGAGCAGCATCAGCGCAGCTGCAGCGACTCCTGCGGCAGCGAGCAGCGGGGAGCGACAGAGCCGAGGCACCAGCCGCCCTGCTGGGGGAGCCTCTAACGCGCAGCACTCGTCTGCCGCGGGAAATTCGCCTCTGCCTGCTGCCTTTGTGGATGCTTCCTTGGCTTTGTTCGGAGGCTTCGAGGGTCGATGGGGATCTGTGGTAGGAGGCTCTCATGGCAACGCAGGCGCGCGTCTGTTTGGTCTGCCTTCGGCGTCTTTGCTGCCTCGCAGCATCCGCCTGGGACTGAGAGAAGCTCTCCTCGACGAGGGGGGTTCGTTCGGGAGAGACGCCGATGGCTTGCGGAGCGGCGGCAGCAGCGGGGGAGACACGGGGGTTCCTCTTCTCGGCAACCGCGGAATCCTCTCCTCCTCTGCTGCTGCTGCGCGCGCAGCAGCAGCAGCAGCTGCTGCGGGAGCTGGCGCGACAGGCGCCTCGGGGGCAGCAGCTTCGTCGGGGAGGGGGGGCGCTTCCTTGTTTGGCGCAGTCTCCGACGAGCTGCTTCTGCTGCCGAGTGAGCGGCTCATGCGCGCTCCTGCCGCGCTTTCTGCTCCTCCTGGCTTGGCGAGCGGGCCGCCTTTTCCAGGAGTCGTCGCACTTTCGAGTCGCGTAGGCACGAGTCGGCTGCTGCGGGGGGGGGGAGGACGTCAAGGGAGTGGAGGGGGAGTCATTGGCATCGCGCAAGGGGCTGCTGCTGCGGCGGAAGGCAGTGGGATCGCCGTGCCGAGAGCAACCGACTTTATCTCCTTGCTGCTCAACGGAGGGGCAAGTGCTGCCGCAAGCAGTGCAGCTAGCGCCTCTGCTCCCGCCCAAGTGCTGAACGAGGATCTCTGGATCGGCTTCCTCACCGCCGCTGCAGCGGGGGGCCCCTCCGGGGGCGGGGGAGGAGGGGGCCCCCCTGGAGGGGGCGGGGGCCCCTCTGGGGGCCCCTCTGGGGGCGGGGGAGGCGGGGGAGGAGGCCCCCCCCCCTGGGGCAGTGGGGACCCTCACGGGGCCCCTCACCACAGGGGCCCCGCACGAAGCGGAGGAGGGGGCCCCCCCCCCATTGGGAGCGCGCCGATCGACACCACTCCTCTGAGCTTGCAAGGCGTGATGGCTGTGTGTCGCGTTCTCTTCCTGCACCGCGGAGTCAACAAGCGGCTCTTGTTTGGCCTTTTGGCGTCTCTGGCAGCCTCGCACGTCGAGACGCGAGATGTGCTTCTGCTGCTTCTTGTCTACATCTGTTGGGTTGCTATCCCCGAGTGCTACACTTCACTTAGGCCCTCCTTCCCAGGGAGAAACACGCTCAAGTCGCTTGGACTGCCTCCCGTCCCCGTGTTGCTGCTCCCCGAAGGCGCGCAGCAGCAGCAGCAAGGGGCTTTGCAGTGCGAGCGCTTCTCGATGGGAGGCGCCGCAGCGGAACGCGTTCTCGAGCAGCTGCGCAGCCTCCTCACAGTCCTCCCCCAAGCCGCCGAAGTCTTCTGCATGCGGCTCCCTCACCCCCGCTCCCTCACCTTGCAGGATCTGACGCTGCTGCAGCGGCAAGGGCTGCAAGGGGCAGCTCCCCTCCAGCAGCAGCAGCAGGATCAGCTTCAGCTGAAGAGCGAAGTGGCGCAACAAGCGCCTGCCACGCGGCAACCCTCGCTGCAGGAGCAGCATGTGCAGCAGCATGTGCGGGAGAGTCTCCAAACAGGGGATAGCAACGCAGCCGATGGGGGCGAAGATCTTGCCTATGAGCTCCGCCGCAAGAAAAAACGCAGAGAACCCTTCAGCAGTGGCAGTAGCAGCAGCAGCAGCAGCAGTAGCAGCAGCAGCAGCAGCAGCAGCCTGACCAGAAGTGAAGGTGTCACAGCAGTCGGCCTTGAGCTGCAGAAGCATCCGCCTGAGGAGCCTGTAGACGGCGAGTATTTAATAAACGTCTTAATGGTGAGTTACACTTGCTGCATTCGCAGCTGCGTGCCTGGTATGCTGCGGGCTATAGGAGGGGGTGGTGGGATCATTCGCTGTAGCTTGGCGTTGTATTTGCGGTAAAAGCTAACTGTGATTCCACGTGCTGATTCGGGAGAGAGAGAGAGAGAGAAAGAGACAGAGAAAGAGAGAAATTGAGAGACAGAGAAAGATAGAGAGACAGAGAGAGAGACAGAGAGAGACAGTCGCTTAAGGCGTTTTTTGTTTCGAGGATATGTCTGCTGCAGGAGCTGACGGGAACTTCCCTCTTTCAGGCATCTCCACGACACATGGCGCATCTCTTGGCTGCTATATATCTGCTAGTCAGCGGTGGAGGCAACAGTAGCAGCAACAACAGTACCAGCACCAGGCTTCACCAGAACAGAATAGCAGCTCCTGCTGCAATCAACAGACCTGCCACAGCGGATAGCCATACAAGCAACAGCAGCAACAACAACAACACAGCTGCGGCAAGCAGCAGCAGCAGTAGTAGTAGCAGCGCTGGTATTCCAAGCGGTGCTGCTGCAGCCAGCAGCCCCTCGGCTGTTCAGATTCAGCCTAGCAGCAACGCCATGAGCAGCAGCAGCAACAGTAGCAGCTCTGGTCTGTCTAGTTCGACAGTAGAGGATATCGTTCCAGACAGCAGGGGGGCTGGTAGCAGCAGCGCAAGTGACTCTGAGAGCATTCAACAGCGTATTCTGCGCGTGATTTCTCCGAAGGCGGGGGGTTGCATTTGCGGCTTGTTGTGCTCTCCAGAGGTTGCTGCTGCTTGGTCACATGGTCTCGGATTCTCGCTGCAGCAGAGGGATGCGCAGCAGCAGCAGTTGGCGGTGGTTGCGAAAATCGTGGGGTGTCTGTACAGCTCCCCGCAGCACCGTGGTTGGGTGGATGAGGCGCTGCGGCGCAACTGTGACGCTTTGAGTGACGTTTTGTCTCTCGAGTTGGGAGCTCTCTCCCGCACACTCCGTGACGCAGCGCAGCAGCAGCAGCAGTTGCAGGTTCATGACGACATCTGGCCTAAGCGGGAGTCGTTGGAGCCTCACTTTGCCGCCTTCTACCGTCTGTGCGGGACCTTGAACGAGGTGTACACGCATCTCCAGCAACAACAGCAGCAGCAAGAGCAAGAGCAAGCACAGGCAGCAGCAGATGCAGCAGCAGCAGCAGCAGCAGCAGCAGCTTTAGCCGCATCGGGGAGCAGCGCAACATCGAGTGGGGCAGAATCTGCTTTGGCGGCAGAAGCAACAACGCCGTTGGGGTCTGCCGTTTCTCTTGCTGTAGATCTTTTACGAGCGTCGCAGCCAGCAGCAGCTTCCTCATCAGCAGCTTCCTTATCAGCGGCAACTGAGCGAGGCGTGAAGGCGGTAGACATGCCAGCACTGGTGCGGTTCCGATCTTTCTTTGATGCCTCTAAAGCTCACAGGATCTGGGAAAGTCTCGAGGAGGTTCTCTCCGCAGTCGGAGCTGCGTACCCTGCTCTGAGCGCAGAAACGGCAGCCATGCAGCACCGTCACCGCATGCAGCAGCAGCAGCAGACGTTAGCTGCTCTGGCAGCCGAAGCAACAGCTGCTGCATTGCCGATCCTCTCCCCCTCCCCCCCAGGAGGGGGAGGCGTCGCTGCTACCACTGCAAGAGGGCAGCGGGGAGAGGAAGCGGATGAGGGAGTCGTTGTCGAGGAGAGAGAAGCTGCAGCAGCTGGATCTCGTGAGCTTGCTGCTCCGCTGGTCTTGACGCAACTGCTGCCTCTCTTCGAATCCTTCTTGCAGGTGCAACAGCTCTCGATTGCCGCCGATCTTGGCTTGGAGGATGTGGCACTGCTTCAGGAGCTCGATCTGTTTGCCGCGGCTGCAGAGAAGGAGAGGAGCATTGCAGATCGCGCAGCTGCTGCTGTTGCTGCTGCTGTAGACTCCAAGACTGGCATTCCGGAGGCATCGGCTGCTCAAGCGGCTTGCTGCAAAGCGAGCGACGAACTGCAAGAATGCGAGCAGCAGGAAGAGGATGGAGGCGGTGCCTTCGGCGTCAGCTCGCGTCGCCACCTCTCTCTGTGCTGCTTCTGCGAACGGCATGTCTTGTGCATCAACGCCTTGCTGAAACAGAATCCCACCCTTCTCTCGGGGCCCTTCTCCCCACTCCTCAGACTCACCCCCATGATGCTGTCTTTTGAAAACAAACGCCACTACTTCCGCCAAAGAATCAGAGAAATACGGCATGCAAGCCGTGCAGACCACGTTCGACTCTCCGTTCGGAGGCAGCATGTCTTCACGGACTCGTATCATCAAATCCGCATTCGATCAGGTGAGGCTTCCATCTACGGCTTCCAGTAAAGGAGGAGGCGCGAAGCAGTGCAATCGTATTGTGCATGCATGCATGCGCTAGAACATGCCTCATGACGGGGCTGACAAAAAGCACTCTACTCTTTGGCTTCTTTATAAACGGGCATCATGTGCCGTCCTCGGCTTTTTGAACCCGCTTTCCTGCTTCACGATCAAAGAAGCGTTGTGCCCAAAGCCGTGTTTTGACACCGCCTCTACTGCGCAGGAGGGAGATTGCATCTAAATGAAAAAAGCAGCTGGGGTGTCTTCGGGGATCCTAGCCTTTTGCATAATTATATATCCATTCATAGATATGTATGGGCATATATATGTATGTCCACTATGTATATAAAATACCTCTTCTGTGTGCATGTATATAGATGAACATATATATACACATACAGATATGTATGTTTCTATATATGTATTCATGTATATCGATGAATATATATACACATACATATATGTATGTTTTTATATATGTATTCATGTATATATATTTATATACATACATACGTACATATACTTGTACGTGTTAGAATGTACTTCTCTTTCTGTGCGATTCCAGGAGAAGAAATGAAGGGAAAGTTGAACGTCGTTTTCCACGGGGAAGAAGGTTTGGATGGTGGCGGTCTCACGCGTGAATGGTTCGGGTTGTTGGCACGTGAAATGTTTAATCCGAATTATGCCCTTTTCACAAGGGAAGGCGCAAAAAGCGAATTTAATCAGCCTAATCCACTCTCTGCCATCAACCCCGAGCACCTCTACTATTTCAAGTTCATTGGAAGAGTCATCGGTAAGTCTCGTGACATGCGATGAGCACCGGGCAAATAACACTATTTTGCAGCTACAGCTCCTCTTTTGCTGCTCTCTCCTTTCCCTTCATGGGGAAGAACTTATCTGCCTTACCCTGCCTGCAACGCACCAAGGTGACTGCCTCTCCTTTTTAGGTACCTATACATATCTGTAACTTTGTGCATATGTTTATGATGGAGATATACATATATGTACATATACAGCATATATACATACACTTCTGCACATAAAAATAGGCCTAGATACATATAACCTATACCTACCATGCCTATGCATGCATGTACATTCATAATTTCATATCCTCACCTAGTGGTGTCTACTCTAGAGATCGTTGGCTTTCGCATAGCTTTTTGCCTCGCCTCGTCAGCCATTTAAGCGGCGCGCGTGTCGGTGGTATTACATTGGATTTTTTGCGGCTGGCTGTCTGTCTGACGCATATGCCCGCTGTGTGTTCAGGGAAGGCCTTGTTCGATGGTCATTACTTGCCCGCATATTTCTGCCGTTCGTTTTACAAGCACATGCTGAACAAGAAGTGCTCGATGCGGGATGCAGAGTCTCTAGATCCTTCCCTCTACTCCAACCTGCAGAAGATCCTCGAATATCCGCTTGAGGACCTGGCACTATCGGACTTGACGTTCAGTGTAGAGACAGATGAATTTGGGAAGCACAAAGTCAACGATCTGCTTCCTGGTGGCAGACACATCACCGTAACCGATGAAAATAAGGCTCTCTACGTCCAGCTCATGTGCCAGCGCAAGATTGCGGGAGGCATTCAGAGACAGCTGGAGGCTTTCCTAAGCGGCTTCCATGAACTTGTGCCGCCTTCCCTGATCTCTATTTTCGATGACAAGGCACGTGCATGCCCTTTTTGCGCGCCATTGCAGCTGTTGACTGGAATGCTGCTACGCTCGACGCTCTGTATATCCATAACCCGCTTCATTGCACGGAGTGCTGTCCCCTCTTTATTCCTTCTGCCGATGCCTCCCTCTGCCTGCATCTATATTGCTCTTGCTGCTGCCCCTGCGTCTCCTGATGCATCTTGCTAGAAATCTTGCTATGCCCATTTCACGTTTTTCATGCGCTAAGTCAGCACGTGCCTCGTTCGCTGTACAGTCCGTGGCCTCTCCGAAGCTGTTCTTACTGACTTGCCTCCCCGTCAGTAGCCTATGCCTTGTGCCTTTTTTTTTCTCTCTTTCTCTATGTATGTGTGAGTGTCTGTGTGTGAGTGTCTGTGTGTGAGTGTTTCTGGGTATGAGCATTCCCTTCATTATCGTCTGGCCCTTCATGGACGATGGTGCGTAATGTCTTTCCCCGCAACTGTTCTGCGTGTTTCTGCGCTTAGGAGTTAGAATTGCTTCTGTCGGGGTTGCCGACAATCAATGTGGCAGACTTGCAGGAGAATACGGAATACGTGAATTATCTTCCGAATGAGCAGCCAATTCCTTGGTTCTGGGAGGTGCGATCAGCATATGCACTGCCTGTGCAATAGGAGCCGCGCAAGGGGGTGTTTCGAAGTAGCGGATAAAATCGCTGGGACACATACACAGTTGCAAATAGGGGAAATCGAGTCGTTTTGCACACAGAAAGAAGGGGTCAGAGTTCGGCTAGAGCACGGGAACATAGCGACGCATCGTATGCATCCTAAATTGTACGCTGGCGAGACAGCGGGAGGTGGGGTAGTCGAGACATTGCATGCAGGGGTGTGCGCATGTGGCGTCTCCAGATAATGGAAGAGTTCGATACACCCCAGAAGGCAGCATTCCTGCAGTTCGTGACGGGAACTTCGCGAGTTCCGATCGGAGGTTTTAGGAATCTTGTGGGGATGCGGGGCCCTCAGAAATTCTCAATTCAAAAGTGAGACGTCGAAAGGAGGGGGCAGCATGCTCTGTGTGCGAGGGAAGGAGTGACCTCTGGATGATCGACGTGCCTAAAATACTCAGTGCCTTGCGTTTTTTGTCTGGGGATATGGCAATTCCACGCTTCTGGACGTCCTTGATTCGATTTCGCTTCCCTCATTTATGGCTGCATCGTCTCTGCTTTCCCGTTATGTCTCGCTCTTCCCCTCTCTGGCTGTGCCTCAGTTACACTCCTTTATGACCCTATTTCGCTGTTTTCCTTTTATGTCTGATTGAGTACTCTGTCTGGCGTCGAAATCAAGCTCCTGTCGCTGGAGCTGCTAGTTTCATCATCCTGCTCGTCCTCTCTTTCGGTGTCTCTGCCTTGTTAGGGCCTATGGAGAAAACAGACTGCCTTCCGCGCACACTTGTTTCAACCAGCTGGATCTCCCTGCCTACACTTCTAAGGCTATCTTGAGGAAGAAACTCCTCTTAGCGATTACGGAGGGGAGGGAAGGCTTTGGCTTTGTATGAGGCCTGCCTCGTTTGTCTCTTTCTCGTAGCGAGTGCTCTTTCAGCTTCCTCCGATGAGAGCCTAGGGTTTCAGCACACCTAGGCCTCATAGACGCCAGGCAGCAGCAAAAAACTGCACTGTCAGGGCTGCCTTTCTACGCACAAATACAGTCGTCATCCCCCCGTGTTCATGTCCTGCAGGCTCTGCAGCAGACAGGAGGGGTGACTGCTGTGTCAGCCTGCATCCGTTAACTTCGTTTCAGAATGGCCTCTAGTAGATACACATATGTAGTGTACATAGGTATATATACACTCAAGTATAAATATATGTATATACCCACTTGCGTGGGCTCAAGCACGCCCACCATGCACAGCGTGCTTGTAGGAGGAGCGTAGACACCGAGTACTGCATGAAGAGGTGGCGCTGTGGCCTTAGAGGTTATTGTAGTGTATCGTAGACGAGAGCACACAAGCGAAGCTCCTTCCCAGCCCCGATAGCTGCGCGTCTCTCTCTGCACGTATCAGTAGGGGTGGAGAATTCGGCCTTTGGTGCCGCATAGAGTCACACTTTTGGAATCCCATTTGTAGCAGGAGGAGTCTTAGAGATCGGATTGCACGGCTTCCTTTGCCCAACGTCAGTTGCTAATGTTCAGCTGGGGTTGCTTGGTGCGTTTTCGTGCATCCGTCGACAAAGCCGATGCACCGCTTTCTAGACTTTATAGGCTTATTAGGGAACCGTTTTGATCGTTTTTGCTTATTTATGGGGTTGGCACTGGCCTAGGCGTGCTCTGAGAATGGTCGTGCGGGTGTGTGTCACCTTGCTATGAACAGGGGGGGGCAAATTTTCATGAGCTTTATGCGAAGCTGGCGGCTTTTGCTGCTTTGGTGCATTATTTATTTGCTAAAATCCCATTAAAGAAGGCAAAAGCAGTTGAAACGGCTTTGCCAAAAGGCAGAAGACGCCTGCCGCTTACCCTAGAGTACCAGGCTGCGTTTTGCTGCCTGGGCTGCCGAGGTCCCCCTGAGTGCACGCAAAGTGAGAAATCTGTCGCAGTGGAAGGATACACTGGAATCAGTGCATTGATAAGCGGTTTAAATCCCGCATTCGTCACGATTAAACAAAGAGAAGGGGGATTGCCCGTCCCTCTGCCTCCCGGAGCTTCTTGCTGGATTCTAGGGTTCAAGCTCCAGTGGAGGGGAGGCCAGAGAGGCCTCGGGTGGTGATGCTGGCCCTCTCTTCGCACGAGGTCTCCATGCATACACTGCAAATTCGAGTTGTGTTGTATATTTTGAACCGGCAAAATACCTTTTGCTTCTTAACTGCTTCCGCAACAGCGACACCCCCTAACACTCGGAGATCTTCAGAGGCACACTGTCGAGCAGCCGTTCCCACTGCTCTTGGTGTTGCTCTGCCGTCCCCTCGCGATCCTATTGCGCAACAACTCGTATCCGCGTTGCTTCTGTTGTTTTAAAATCTGTTGTAAACACTTTTTCACCCAATCCCCCCGCTACAAGCAGCAGCACATATACGCCCAGGCCGGCAGGAGGTTGCGGTGATGCAGGAGTGCAGTTCCGCTGCCTTGGCACCGTTACCTTTTTCGCTTTCAGCCTTTTGCTTCTTCGGCAGGTCTCTGAGCTCTTGTGTCTGCTGTCTGCATCCTGAAGCAACAGCTTCAGCTTAATCGCTTCTAGCCTCTCTTGCTTCGCAGAACTGCCGGTGCTGGCACCCGCGCTGCACTTTGATTACGCAGAAGAAAGGGACCGACAGAAAACAGCCAAAGAGGAGGAGCGCTTCTTGCTTCTGCATGTACACAGCGCAGGCAGCGAGGAGGAGGAGAAGAAGAATGCGCAGAGCAGCAGCATCCAAGGAAACGCCACATGGCCACTGGCATTTGCTGAGCAAGATCAGCATCTTTGGTTCGTCGTTCTTGCTGCGGCAGCAGTAAGACACCAGGAAACAAATGCGACAAGGAGCTCCGCAAGACGCACTTGCGGCTGCTAGCGGCCCTCCAGCGCTGCAACCGAAAATTACGCCGATGAATGCTCAGCACTTGACGCAGCAGCAGCTGCTGCAGCAGCAAGCTCTGCAGCAGCAGCTCCTCCTGCAGCGGCAGCAGCAGCAGCAGCAGCTCATTGTGCAGCAACATCACCAACGCCTTCAGCACCAGCATGCTTTGCACCGCCAGCAGCAGCTGATGCTGGCTCAGGCGCAGGCCGTCCACCCCTCCGCCCAGGCTGCTGCGCTGCTTGCGTTGCAGCAGCAACAGCAGCAACAGCAGCAGCAGGCGGTGTCTACGGCAGCAGCTTTTGCTGCTGCAAGTCTCGGAGGGGGCAACAGCGCAGCAGCCGCTGCAGCGGCTGCAGCGGCTGCTCGAGCGCGCGCCGCTATGGATAGCGCAATGCAGCAGCAATTGCAAGAGCAGCTGGTGCGTCTCCATCAGCACAGGGAACAACATTTCTTCGAGCAGCAGCAGCAGCTTTTGCAGCAGCACCGGCAGCAGCAACAAACTACAGAAGCGTGGCGCCTCTTCGCAGGTGCTGGTGGGAAAGCAGCTGGTGAGCCTTGTTTCTTGCGACTCTTGTTGTTGCTACTGCTGCGGCTTTAGCCCCCGCTATGCGTCGTACGAGTCTTCTCCCATAGAAAATGCTTCTTTCTCGTTCTTGGCAGTGCTGTCTGGATACATCCAGAGCCGCGTCTGTGCACTCACTCCATACAGCTGCCGCTTGCCGTCGTTTCCTCGAAGCTGCTGCTGCTTCCCTTTCATGACGTTTTACCCCTTTTCGGCAGGCGGAAAAGGTGACGGGCTGTTGCCGCTGCTGCTTTCTCAAAAAGACAGCCAACTGCCACGCACTGCTGCTGCTGCTGCTGCTCCTGTGGCTTTGTGCTTTGCGTTCAGCGCTCAGCTTTGCAGCGCAGCAGCAGCAACAGCAGCAGCAGCAAGCGGCCGCGGCAGCAGCAGCAGCAGCTGCTGCTGCTGCTGCTGTTGCTGCTCTGAGTGACGCAGCAAACTTGAAGGTTTCGCAGCAAGTATCTGCAGCAGCTCCTGCTGGATCTTTGCCGCTCTCAGACGCCGTCCTGTCTATTGCAGCATCTGCGGATGCTGCAAGTCACGTTGCAGCAGCAACAGCGGCTGGTATTACCCCCAGCACGCATGAGGCGATGCCTCCTGATGGCAGCAACAACATGACGGGGGCAGCAGCAGCAGCGTCTTCAGCAGGTGTCTCCCCTGCTCCAGCGGCAGCAGCTCCTGCTGCGCGTGGCAATGCCTCTGCGCGAAGTCGCAATAATAATCGCTCAGCATCTAAAGGATCTGCTGCTTGTGCGCGCCGCGTCGGGCGTCCTGTGCGCAAAGGCGGAGCAGCCTCGTGTGTCTCCGTAGCCACAGCAGATGCAGAAGCGGCAGCCGCAGCAGCGGCTGCTGCAAGCGCAAGCATCGACAAAGAGGCAGCTTCAGATAATGTGCACCAGCCAAGAAGAATTCCTGCAGACGCCTTTCGAGTGCCAACGGTTCCTGACGAAGACTACTTCTCCACAGTCCCAGGATGTTACTATCACTTTGGTACATTCGTTTTTTGTGTATATTTATGCGCATGTTTAGGGGTGTATGTGGGGGTGTTGTGTTAAGAGGGGGCTGTGTTTGTATGTATGTCTGTGTGTGGATGTATATATGTTTGTGTGTGTATGTATGTTTGTATGTATGTCTGTGTGTGGATGTTTGTTTGTGTGTGTTTGTGTGTGTTTGTATGCACGTGTGTGTTTGTGTTTGTATGTATGTATGTTTGTGTATGTGTGTATGTTTGTGTATGTGTGTGTATGTATGTGTTTGTGTGTGTGTTTGTGTATGTGATTGGTTGCGCTTGCCTCCGTTTGATTGTTAATGTGCTTGTTTTTGTGTGCCCGTTCAAACGATGGACTTGCTCTGCCGCTGCAACATGCCCATGCATCTTTACTCTATCTGTCAGGGTGTTTACTTTTGGTCAGTGCCGCTGCCGCTTAGGCGTATATATTTGTATATATATGTATTAGTTTGTATTAATTATGTTTATTAAATTTTTTACGTGTTGATTCAGGCAAGCGGGAGTGGCGCGTCGTATACCGGGACCCCCAGAATGAAAGCAAACGGCGGCAAAAGACACATTCCATCAAGAAATATGGCTTCTATGCGGCGCGTTCTAAGGCGGAGGATCTTCGTATCGAGCTTGAAAAAATCAACGGGTGGTCCGACACAGCACAATTTCCAAGCAGCAGAGCGAATAGGGTCATGTGAGATGCCTGCATGTCAAGGCATACCCTTGGGAAGGGAGGAGGGGGGAGCAGCGAGGCGAATGCGTAGCAAGGGAATGGGGGTGTTCGGAGTTTCAGGGTTGTTTCTTTGGGGCTGTTACTGTGCTGCCGAGGTGCTCGCTGTCACGGGAAGCGCGTTGCCTAAATTCTCCAGATCCCAAGCGGACCGGATGAACGAACAGAAGTAGCGAGAGAGATTAAGACAGGTCGCTGTGGGCGTGAGGGTGAAGCGGCGTCTGCGAAGCGTTATGCTGAATATCCTTCTGTCTGCGGTGTGATCGCGCTGCTGCGGTTGTGGGTGCTGTTTTCGCTGCAGGCCTTTGACAGTGCCTCCTGCCAAGAAGACGGACACAGCAGCGACGCGTTTCATCAACTTTGATCGCGTGGAGAAGGAGCCTGCGGGAGTAGCTTCTTCAGTGGAGGGGGAGGGGGAGGACGAAATGACGCTTCCCCCCGCTGCCGTCTCTGCGGGGGGATCAAGTAGAGCGTCTGTCCGCAGAGCGAACAAGCAGCGGCAGCAGCAGGAGCAGCAGGAACGCAGGCTGCAGCAGCCGCAGCAACTGCAACAGCAGCAGCAAGAAGCGGGAAGCTCTGGCGGGGTAGCAGCGGCAACGGCGCCAACTTCCACGGCGGCGTATTGCGGTGTAGCTACAGCGAATTCTCCGAGGGCTTCCGGGGGGAGCCGACGGAGCGATAACAAGACTGCAGTTAGAGCGAAACAAGAAGCTGCAGCAGCCGCTGCTGCGATTGTTGGCGATGCCGCTGCTGCTGCAATGGTTGGGGCAGCAGACAGCGTCAACATCGGGGGGACTGCCATCAACACCCGCAGGAAGCGCCGCATGCAGCAGCAGCAGCTGCTGCTGCAGCGGGTGTCTTCTGTATCCGAAATGCTGCGAACAGCAAAGGATCCGACGGAAGGCGCGGGTCGAGAGGCTGCTGGTGGAGTCAACGCTCACGTCGTCGGGCAGACTCCGGAGGGAAGCATGCAAGCAGTGGCATATTTCCATGGACCTCCCCCCGAGCTCCTGCCCAACGCATCCATAGATCCCCTGCAGCAGCAGCAGCAGCAAGGAGGGTCTCTCGCGGGAGTAGACGGGGGAAGCAGCAGCAGCAGCAGCAGCAGCAGCAGCAGCAGCAGCACTGGTGACGACATAGCGTCAGGAGACGCTTCGGAAACAAAACACAGAGAGGAAGACGGATACTTACTGAACGGAATAGCGGCGGCTTCTCTTGCCGCCGACGGTCCCCTTACCCCCCGTTGGGGGCTGCTGCAGCAGCCATCCGATGGCGACGATCTGCTGCAGCAACAGCAGCAGCAGCAGCAGCAGCAGCAGCGCGAGATTCCCACCACTCAGGCATACACCAGGTCTGGAGGGCCGCCCTGCCGTGTGGGCAAGGATGTTGTCGCAGGCTCCATGGGGGGGGAAAGCTTGTCGCTGTCTACGTCTCCTTCGGCTCTCTTTCTCCGTCCCGGAAATCTTAGCACTTCCTTCAGTAGGCTGGTTGCAGACGAGCAGCAACAGCAGGTTCCTCGCCACAGCGGCGGCAACAAGGTCGACATGATGCAGTACTTGTTGTCGCCACCCACCAGTCTGCATGCCGCTTCTCCTTTGGGGCCCCTCGCCAGCAGACGCTTAGCCGACATCGCGACGGAGGGTGCTTCAGGCACAGTTGTTGCTTCGGGAGCCTCTCAACGCAGCGGCGGAGAGTGCTTCGAGGGACTGTCAGCGCAGCATTCCATATCTGGCTTGCAGGAGGCGTTGCTCAACTTCGTCTACCTTCCCTCCTGCCCGGCTACGCCCCTGCTGTCGTCTGCTCCAGTGTCTCTGCTGATGGATTCCATAGATCAGCAGCAGCAGCAAGACGCTTCCACCAGCAGCGGCAGAGCCGCTGCAGTGCGCGCAGCCGCCACAGCGGGTGCTTCTCCGCCCGCTCCAGCAGGCGGCTCCATCCTGAAGGCGGCAGCAGCAACAGCAGCGGCAGGAAGGGGCCTAGAGGAGGATAACTTGCTGCGTCTCTCGCGCAGCAGCAGCTCCCAGCAGCTGCCTGCAGCGATGGCTGCTCTCTTGTCTCCGTCGATCGTTGGCATCGACAGGGAAGAAGCGCCGGGAAGCAGGGGGCGAGACGCGAGCGGTCCTGCGGGGGAGGAGGAGTTACTCCGCAGTAACAGCAGCACCAGCCAGTGTTCAACAAGCAACTGCAGCAGCGGGCAGCAGCAGCAGGCAGTCAGCAGGGATCTTCCCACGCAGGTTGTGGCGGCAGTTCCTGAGTCTCCGCTCTGCAGCAGCAGCAACAGCAACAGCAGCAGCAGCAGCAACAGCAGCAGCAGCAGCAAACCGGAAAAGGGGTCTTCTGCGAACTCCTTGTCTGGAGTAGGGGGGGGCCCCTACTCGGGTGCTTGTTCCCTATGGATGACTGTGGCAAACGGCAGATCTGGAGTTGGGGGCCCCTCCCCCCTGCGTCGCAGTGCTGCGGCTCCTCCCCCCCCTTCGCCTCCGTTGAGGCTGTCTTCCTTCAGGGCAGTAGACACTGTGCTTTCTCCCCCGTGTTTGCTGAAGGCTCGAGGGGGGGATGATTCCGCGCTGCTAGCTCCCCTAACTCCCCCGCAGCCACACGAGGGGCCTCAAGGGTGCTCCTCTTGGACTCCCTCCTTGGGATTGCCGTCTCCGTTGCAACAGCTATCCGACGATGCACTGCTCCCACTCAACAGCCGCAGGATGCACGGATGGGATAAAGATTCCCCGTCGCTTGCTAGTGCTACTGTGGCTGCCGATCCTTGCGAACAAGGGCCTCCGCCAACGCCGAATGCATGTAGCAGCAGCAGCAGCAGCAGCAGCGGCGGCGGCGCCAACGCCAGCAGCAACGCAGCTTCAATTTCAGCGTGCAGTAGCAGCATTGCAGGTGCTGGAGGAGCAGGAGATGCTGAAGCGGCAAATACAATCCTCAGCCGTATCAGAAAGCACTTGTTGCCCGTCGAAGCGGAGGAGGAGGCCTAATGGGTGGGTGTGGCTACAACTGGAAAAATGCAGCAGCAGGAAACGGCGGAAGTAGCAGAGCAGCAGGGTCGTGCAGTATTGTTGAAGTTGGAGGGAAGAACGCAGCTGCGTTTACTTACCAACGCGATCAGCACATGACTCCGAGTCAGCAGTTGTTCTCGCTGCTTTGTAGCAGTTGAGGATGTAGCTGGCTGTCGCTTCTTTCCAGCCGATAGCTGGCGAGTTCACTCCTGCCGAGATAGGTGGCTAGCCATCTACAGGCAGGCTGCTGGCACAGGAGGGACCATGTGCGTTTCCTGTACAATAAGGGTATTTTTAACTCTGCTTCTCATTGAGATGAGACATTTCGAGGCTCTGTTTGAATGCGAGTGCGTTCATGTGAAGCCCGTTTCACTTTATGTGCAGGCAGCCTTGTCATATCACCTAGCATTCGCATGCAAGTTGTCGGTTATGTTGATTCTCCCCAGGCTTCTAGAAAAAGTACATGCTTGCGTGCATGGCCTCAACCTAGACTGTATGCTTACACGTGTGCTCGGGCCGCAGTCGATTCTTGCAGCTTATGCATGCATGCACGCGTTGGCTGTCGCTTTCGACATCCATGCATTAGTCATTCGTATTTGTGTGCATGCGTTGGCTACATGAACTTGCGGGCATGCATGGTCTGCATGCATGCAGTGGCCATATACATATATACATATGCATTCATGCGTTCGCTGAAGCACGCGAACGTGATGCACCGGCTCTGGCACCGCCAAGGTAGCCGCACTTCATGAGGAAGCGGCATTCGCTGCTTCATGGGGGAACAGTGTCTTATGAGGGTGGGAACGCTTCTGCTCCGGAGGTACAGCCACTATGGGGGAAAGCAGACCAGCACAGGGAAGCTACCAGGCCGGCAGTTGCTGGCGGGGAGTTAGCCGGCTGGGTGGCTGGCTACACAAGAATGTGGCCAGTGGCATTGCCTCGCAGAACGGCGACTGTAGTGCCCTTGGCGCACATACTACTCTTTTCACTGTTTAACGAATAAATGTCTTCCTGGGTATTACTAGGATCCACGAGTCCTGAGCAACTCTTCTTTGGACACGGTGCAGGCGTATTATTAGTAGCTGCAGCAAGCGCAGAAATTGTACAAGGCTGACAGCCTGGAAAGTAGAGTAACTGAAGGGGAGCTGTATCGGTAAAGGGCCAGCCACAGCTCATGCTCGACGAAAGTGGCGATCTCGACGGGCAACTTTTTGTGTTGTTTTTCTGGATCCAAACGTATTCCTGCCAAGCTTTCCCTCGGGCCCCTCTCAAGCGTCCGAAAGAGACGAGCTAGAACAGACGAAGTTGCAATACCTGGTAGACCCTCGTTAAATGCGCATTTCGAACTCTTTCTGCTGTCTTTTTGTAGTTGGTTGCCTTTGTCCACTGCTTTTCTTGCTTCGTGTGCCGCTAACGAGTTTCCTCTGCCTTGCTGTCTGCTTGCAATTCTTTCTTTCTCTGCTTCTACCCCTTTCTCGCTTTACATCCCATCCTTCGGATCTTTCCTCGTTTTATCTATCTTCCCTATGTTGATTTCGTCACCTTCTCAGTGCCAATTTTACCGGGATAGCTTTATGCCAGCCATTTTACGGGACCAGAATTGTGGGCACAGCAAGGTGGATGGCCATAAGCTCAAAATACGCCACCATGTTGAGGAACAGTGTCCTTAGCTGAAAACTCCTCCCTGATGTTCATCCAAGAGCTCCCAGCTTCCTATTAGTTTTGCCCCGTCTTGGCCTCTGGCGCGTTGGTAGGTCGACGACGTAGGCCACTGTAAAGCACTTTCTGATACACTGCACATTCACGTAGGACTAGGAACTTTCCACCCCACTTGTCGTACTGAGTAAAGGCTGGATTAATGATTTTTCGAAGTTCGTATACTTTGGTCAGTGTAGGATAGCATTAACACCATGCAATGAGAGATGCAGGGCTAGACGCGCGAGCGGCACATGCTATGTGCAGCTACACGTGAATGCTCGTATAGTACTTGAACGATGCAGCGACGCGTGCCCTAGGCGTTCCTCTGCCTCCTTAGAGGAACCGTTACGGACGCGGGAAGAGGAAAAGGGGAGATGTATGGAAGGGCATTTGGTAGTTTTTATTAGCTTGTATGAATGTGGCTATGAAGACCTGAGATAGGCGCTACAGGTAGGCAGCTCTGATGTTCTAGTAGAAATATACAGTTAAAAACGATGTGGGATCACCGGAGAACTAAAGTGAGCGGTGGTAGGACTTTTTGGTTTGCGTATTTCTTCGCCTCCTTCAATATCCCTGCAGCTGCAATAGAGGTAGCAAGTGTCAGTGCCCACTATGATCTGCCTACTCCCCTTTTTAGCTCAGAGGTCCAGGATGCGTTCTTGTTTTCTGGGTTAGCCGGCTTGATGTATTCCTTGCGCCTCTCTAGACAACATTATGCGAAGGATGCAGTGCAGACACAGTTTCTGGAGCTCAAAGTGTCCTGGTAAGACTTTTTCACACACAGATCTGTGAGTTGAAGACTCATTTAACGCATTTCAGTTTGCATGTATTACCACTAACCGCTTACCGCAAAGTCCAAAACGAAAGCTTTCGCCCCTGACAGCATGCCGCAGGGCTCTACGCGTAGTGATTTACATGAAAAGGGTAATGTTCGAAGGTGCTCGCCAGCAAATTCTTGTAATTTTCATTTGTTTGCTGATCTGGGCCTCAAAGGCAGGGAATGTAACTGAGGGCTTAAGATCTGTGGGGCCGTGCCAGGTGGTGTGGTCTGGGTATAGTTGCCGACCATGAAACGGGGAGAATCTGAAGCTGGGAGGCAAAAGAAAGAAATCGAATGACAAGGAAAGTGCTACATTGAAATAGGTGAATGTATAACCGAGGCTATGGAGGGATTTTTTTAGGCCGGGCTGGGCTGTCTGTGCAGGTGGCGCTCGTCGGGGGCTCTGTGTTTAGGGTTTTTCGCTGTTTCTTTGGCCTTGATACCAAGGAACTCTTGGTGTTTGCAAAATGAAACAATATTAAAGCCATTCATTCATGAGGGAGAAAAGATTTTCACCCGCCAGCACCCTTCTTTTGCGTCTTTTTTCGCAGGCTCAGCAGGCTCCGCTGTGTCCAACTGTAGCCCTCTAGGGTCACCTTTTCCTGCCCAGCGGTAGCACCAGCAATCGACGCAAGCCTCTGTGCTCTTGGAAGCTTTTACGTGGTATTGCTTGTCTCTCGCGGAATAGCACAGAGGGCTAAACACCCGTCGTTTCGTGGAGTTTCCCGCCGGCGCCCCTATTCCCACTTGTGTTTCTGAATAAGAGCACTGCCTTGCGCGTAGAACCATCTTCCTTCTGTAGCAATTCAACTCCCCGCGGCGTTCCTATGCGTCGCTGAAGCCTTCAGCCGTTACCCCCCAGTTCTTCCTGGAAACTCCAGAGGCGGTGCTCCCGCCTCCGCTGCACTGCCGAAAGGGGGAAGCGCACCAAAGGAGTGGAACCGAGCGGCAGCGGCAACCCCACTCGAGAAAACCTCGAAGAAGCGTTGCTTCTCCCTGTCCACGAGACAAACGTTCCTGCATGCTGCGGAGAGAGACAGAGCCTCAGGGGGCCTGCCAAGTCAGACAGCTGCACCCCAGGCACAGCCTCCTGCATGGGATTCCCTACGCAGAAGCAAAGACACCGGGTGCCTCAGACGGCGCCAGACAGCTCAGCTGCGCACCTCCCTTTTGCAGTTGGCGCGGCTCAGCCTTCCCGCGACAGCGCTGAATGTCGATGCTCGGATATCCCTCCCCATGAGGGTCCCTTTGCCCCCCACCTCGCAGCCGAAGCAGTGAACCTGTGAAGGGTTTGCGCACGCTGGCGCTTCTATCTTCGAGCCGCTTTCCCGTCTTGCGTGCCGCTGTTTCTGCTGCTTCTTCTTCGCCGCGCTTGAAGTTCCCTATGAGTACTTGGTGGAAGAGAGGCGTCGCGGCAGCAGCAGCCTTCCGCTGCTGCTGCTGGCTAGTCGGCGTGGTACAATTTGTTCAGGGGGAGGGGCTTTTTTCCCCTGGCGAAGGCAGCTTATGGGATGCGGAATCTTCTGGACCGTGGGATTTCGAGCCAATCCCAACGCCGTCTTCGTTCGCGAATTCGCATTCCCCCCCCCCCGCACGTGCCGCTGGCGAAGTAACTCTGGGAACCCTAAGAGAAGCAGCCTCTAGTAGAGCAGTGGCAGAAGTCGCGGCAGCAACGGAAAGCCGCAATTCTGCTACTCTAGATGCGGAGGTGCCTCCAGATGCGTCGTGGGTACTGAGAGAGAAGCAGCGAATGCGTCTTGGGGGATCGCAAGGATCGGAGAAGGTGGTGTTGGCATATTCTCTGGAAGGCTGCCAGGCAGCCTTGCCTGCTCCTGAGGGGTCGGGTGAAGGGGAAAACAACGAGCAAGATGCGGAGCTTCTGCACGGACAGGAAGCTCGATTTGCGGCAGTGTCTGCGCTCAAGTTCAGTGTGTCGCAGTTGCTGCGTCAGAAGCAGCTGAAGCACACGGAAGCTCTAGACACAGACTTGCTCCAGGCAGCTCAAGTCGCAGCCGTGAGTCCAGATGTGTCTTCCATGGAGACGCGCTATCTGTCAGCTCTCGAGATGGAGGTGATCACCAAGCTTCCAGAAGGGCTCTCGACTGCGGAGGTGCTGGGGGTGACCTCTGAACTCCCGTGCGTGCAGCGAGGCTTCGCAGACTCGAGAAAATTCCTCGAGGAGCCTGACATGCCGCTTTCCGCACGGGAGCACGGGCGTGCCACGGAGGAGACACGCGGGAAGGGGTTTTCCCCCCCCCAACAGACGCAGAGAAGGGAGGCAGAAGAACGAGAATCTGCATCCCCTAGGACCCCCTCAAGTGCAGCGTCGCGAAATCCAAGGCGCTTGCAGGGGTTTGGCATATCTGAGTTGAGTGCGCGTGTGATGGCGTCTGTGTCTGATGCTGCATCGCCTTCGACTTCGAGTGGCGCATCGACAAAAGCCTCGGGACGGGTTCCACCGAACGACCCCATCTTCAGGAAACAGTGGAATCTGCACGATGCATCGCCTTTCGGAATCCACGCGGAGAAGGCTTGGAGACTGTGGAATGGCGATCAGAGACCTATGGTTATCGCAGTCATTGACAGCGGCTGCGACTTGAGTCATCCCGACCTCAAAGACAAGCGCTGGAAAAATCCCGGAGAGATATGCGGGGATGGAATCGACAACGACAACAATGGATTTATCGATGACTGTTATGGATGGGTAGGGTTTGTGCCACCTTGCAACGCTTGAAGCCTGGGTAGACAGTGTCGTAGCCTCTAGAGAGAGATAGATATACATACATATACATACACATACATACATATACATGCATATACATATATGCGACGAGACAAAGCCACCAAGCGGCCTCGCCTAGAGCGCCTTCTTCTCCTCCTTCCGCTTGCTTGCTTGCGGCGTGGAGAGGCGTTTGGGGGGGAGGTTGTGTGAGTTTGTGGGTGCTGGCGTGCTGCGCTGCGAGATTCGCATGCATTCTGCGCGTTGGAATGCACTTTGTTGCGCTTGTTAAGGATTTTGTAAACAACAACGGAGAAGTGCGGCCTGACTCCTCCGGGCATGGAACGGGTGCAGCTGGCGTTTTAGGATCGGTGGCGAACAACCTCGTCGGCATGGTGGGAGTCTGTTGGGGTTGTCAGATCATGTGCCTGAAGTTCATCGGCAGAGGTCAAGGCTCCGTCAGCAACCAAGTGCAAGCCATTGACTATGCTGTCAAGATGGGGGCGTGGATCAGCAACAACTCTTACGGAGGCTACGGGTAAGCAGCGGGAAGAGACGTCGAGCATGCACAGCACTGCAGGGATTTCCAAGGTGATGTGCTGCTGTCGTGTTTATGGTGGCATTAAGGGAAGTCTTCATGTGGCGTGGTGATGCTGTCGTGTTTATGGCAGCATTAAGGGAAGCCTTTGTGTGGCGTTGTGATGCTGTCGTGTTTATGGTAGCATTCAGGGAGACCTTTATGTGGCGTGGTGATGCTGTCGCGTTTATGCTAGCATTGAGGGAAGCCTTTATGTGGCGTTGTGATGCTGTCGTGTTTATGGTAGCATTAAGGGAAGCCTTCATGTGGCGTGGTGATGCTGTCGTGTTTATGGCAGCATCAAGGGAGGCCTTTATGTGGCGTTGTGCTGCTGTCGTGTTTATGGTAGCATTAAGGGAAGCCTTCATGTAGCGTGGTGATGCTGTCGTGTTTATGGTAGCATTAAGGGAAGCCTTTGTGCGGCGTGGTGATGCTGTCGTGTTTATGGTGGCATCAAGGGAAGCCTTCATGTTGCGTTGTGATGCTGTCGTGTTTATAGTAGCATCAAGGGAAGCCTTCGTGTGGCGTTGTGATGCTGCTTTCCCATTGTCGCGTTTGCTGCTGCTTTCTTGGGATATATCTTTTTGTATTTTTTGACGCTGTCACGCCTGGTGACAGCCTCCACGTAGCTCCTGCAGAGGGTGGCGGTACGGCTGTCTCTGCCCACGTTGCTCGTTCGCATCCTTCCGAGTAGAAAGAAAGGACTGCTGGCTGCGGGGAGGGGGGCGTCTATTCGTTGCTTCAGCAAAGCCGATCTAGAGCTCGAGGCGATTCAGAGAGCGCAGCGTGCTGGTCATCTCTTCGTAGCTTCTGCGGGGAACCACAATCTGAACACAGACCTACCCGAGTGAGGCTGCATCGACATCTTTCAATTCTGCACGCCTTTTTGTCGCATGTGCTGTTTGTGCCTGGTGCTCTCACCTGTGAAGTCTTCCTTCCTAACCTGCCTTCTTCTGGCTGATCTACGCCGTCCTCCTCTTGTCTGCTGCCGCTACGGCTGCTGTTGCTGCTCCTGTGCGCTAAGTTACCCTGTTCTACCCACCCTGCATGGTTACTCTCTAGCTTTTCGTCTTCTGTCTTCTGTCGCACGCGTTTCCACCCCTCCATCGCATTTTGGGCAATTCCTCTCCTTCGCCCTCTCCTTCCTGCCCTGTGGCTGGCCTTCTTTCGCCTTCCGCCATCCCTCTGGTTTCCAGTCAACGCCTGCAGTTCGCCTTTTCTGACGCTAATATTTTTATTATTGCTGTCCTTTCTTTGACCTCCCAAGGAATGATCACACCCCCTCAACATACCCCATCTCCAACATCGTGAGTGTAGGCGCCCTCACTGCGGAGGGCCGGCGTGCAGCTTTCTCCAACTACGGTGTACGGACAGTTCATCTTTTTGCACCTGGAACAAGTGAGCGCATAAACCTCCTTTTTCCCCTCTCTTCCACCTTCTTGACTGCTCATACAGTCTCGCGCCTAATCGCCGTGCTGCCGACAGATCAGGGGTATTGTAGGAGCCACGTTTCTTGCAAGGAAGGCTCCTTCAAAGCCCCAACAACAAGCTGATCTCGCCAGTACAACAGGCATGCACAGCGTGCTGGCCACGCCGAGCTAGCTGAGTGCCTAAGCGCCTCTTTTTCACCCCACCCTCCCCCTCTATATGGAAGCTTCGCCATGCGCTGCTGTCTCTGCTCCCCTTTGTCTGTTTTCCGCCGAGCACGCGCTGCTGCTGCATCTGCTTTTCGATTATCCGCTCTCTCGACGCACAAATGCCGCAGCAACCCTTTTCTTCCGCTTCTCCTCCACCTGACAGCTCCTACCCTATGCTGTGTGCTGCTGGCCTTTTTTCTCAAGGCATCCACACGACAGACGGCTCTGCGGGATACTCAGACGTGAACGGCACGTCCTTTGCCTGCCCCCATGTTGCTGGCGCGGCAGGGCTGTTGTGGTCAGCCTTTCCGAACTTAACTTACTTGGAAATCAAGAGGGCATTGATGGAAGGCTGCAGACCTAATGAGGCCCTTAAGGCATTTTCAGGGTGTGGGGGAAGTCTCGACATTTACAGAGCTTTAGTTGTTGCCGGTATGCATGCACGAGCGCAGAATCAAGCGAGCCACCCCCCCCCCTTTGCCAGCTGTATTATTTCCCGGTTCAAGCTGTCTCTCTTCCCCCCTCGCTCCTCCCTTACCCCCACCCCACCCCGTCTCGCTCCTCCTTTTCCTCCGTCGATTTATATATATAAATATATATCCTGATGCCTCTGCACCCTTCTTTCTACCTTATATGCAGCCCTTTCCTGTAGCTGTCTCACACTGCGCTCCGATCTCTGTGTCTGCTCTTAGACGCATTTCTCCCGTCTATTATGCGGCCCCTGCCCACGTTTTTCGTGCTCGTCTCTCTCTGCCGCTGGCTGCGCTGCTGCTTGGTGCATGCAACTGCTTTGAGGCACAAAGCAAACTCTCCTGCGCTCTCTGCAGAAGCTCCTTTCTTCGCCTTAATCCATGTGTCTTGTCCTCACCCGCTTTTGTTCTTTCTCCCCTGTGCCGTTACACGTTGTGCCTGTGTGGGGGGATGCTGTTGAGTCCTCTGTTTGCTCCTCGTTTGCCTCTGCAGCACATATTTCGAGCGGCACTCCCGTTAACAATGCAGCTCTCAATCGCGCTACTCTTCAGCTCCCTGCTCCACATGCCGCCGCTGCAGCTGCAAATCGGACGGGAGCCGCTCTAACGCAGCAGCAGCAAAAGGAGAAGCGTGGAGGACGCACTCAGGAGCTCCCCGCACCGACTTCTGCAGCAGCAGCAGCACCAACGGGAAACTCACAACTCTCGCTGGACCCCCTTTCTCTGCTGTCAAGCGTCATTCTCGCTCCTCTGCCAGGGCAGGACGAGAGTCAAGTCGACAGAACCAACGGCAGCAGCAGCGCAGGAAGAGGCTCGCGGAGCTCTCTACTCTCGCTCCTCCCTTTGGCGTCTCGGGAAGAATCTGCCAGCCTGGAGGCGCACGAGGATACTCTCGATAGCGTCTTGGCGCAAAAAGGCGGTGCTGAGGCATCGGAGAAGCAAAGCGAGGCAGTCCACGCAGAAGCCCTCCTGCAGCAGGAGCAGCAGCACCAGCTGCGGCAAGGTGAAATTGCTGTAGATCAGTACATCGACCCCGTCACTCTAGCAGCACACCTTTTAAAACAGGCGCAACAACGCCCCCTTACAGCTGAGTCCGCTGCAGCAGCAGACACGCGCACCGATGCTGTCACCTTAGCAGCACTTCTAGTGCAGAAGCACCACGATCAGATGCTGCAGCAGCAGCAGCAGCTACAACAGGAGCAGCAGACTTCTGAAGAGCAGTTTTTGATCTCCTCTCCTCAAGTCCAGGATCTGACACTGCAGCAACAAATGCTGCAGCAGGTAAACCTGCAGCAGCTGCAGCTGCTGCAAGAAAGGCAGCACATGCAGTTACAGCAGCAAATGCAGTTACAGCAGCAGTTGCGGCAGCACCAGCAGTTGCGGCAGCACCAGCACAGCCACAACCACCTAGTTGGTGATTTCTCAAGCCAGCTACTAGAACACCAGCCGAAGAAAAAACATCCACAGGAGCAAGAGCAGCAAGCGACGCTACAGTGGCAGCTAACAGACCTGTGGCAGCAGGTGCCACAACTTCTCGCGTCTGGATCGCTGCAATCCTCGGGGTTGCGTGCGACGTTCCCTCTCAGGGGAAGCTCTCCCCAGGATGCCTTTAAAAAAACAAGCAGCAACGGCAGTGAGTAGCCTATGGAGGAGGAACGCCTGGGCCGTTCAAAGGTTAAGCCGCCCACACGCTGCTCTGAGGAGAAGCATTTTTGTTTGCTGCTGTTGCGAAGACAGAGGAGTTCCTCGGCATTAGTGATAGAGGACGAGCTAGTAATAGTCGAAGGCTGCGCTGCCGCTGCAGCACCCGATATTATTAGAAGCGCGTAGTGGTACTTTAAGCTTCAGGATGCACGGTGCGATCAAAGACAGGGAAACGGTCGATGTATGTGTGTAGCGATAGAAGCGAAATTACCACAGTAATCGCAGTCAACAACTGGAAAGACACAAACACCCGCCCAACACGGAAGCAGCGTAGCGTGCAAGCTTTAGAAGGCACGCACCTTGGTGCAGCGGATCACGCATTTCAAGTTCGCTATGGCAGCAGCAGCACCAAGAAATCATAAGCAGAAAGATCGACTGCCTAAAAAATAACCAAGAGGAAGTCTATGCAGCAGCATGCGAGCGTCAAAGACGCGTCACCCTAATTGAAAAACCATTTACTGAGTCTCCCAAGTGATGGCCAAGCCCGTCTGCCTTACGTGTGACTCTTAGGGGCGCATGGCTTAGCCTCTGTTGGCACTTGGAAAGAAACTTCCTCTGTGACTCCCTTCTAGGCGCCTTCCGCCTCCAGCTGCGATTTATTCCCTCGCCTTGGGAAAACACAAAAAAGCCCGTCAAGGGCAGGAGCACCAATAATGAAAGCCGTCTGCTGCCTCTCTGCCTGTCCCTCTCCTCCTGTTTGTGGTAGTGCCTACATCCTGTGTCGCGTAGAGAAGTTCTTACTGTTCTTTTCTCTCAGGTGCTCATCATTGGAGTTGGACGCACTGCATGAAGTACAGTGAGGCTCCCCGATGAGACCATTGCGGCTTCACTCTAGGAAAAGAGCAGCTACTAGTGAGGCGGCACTAGCAAGAGTTTGACGATCGTAGGGATTTCAATGAAAAAGGTGGGATGCGCAGAGACGCCGAGAACGCATGTGCCGCATGCGCTGTGCTTGGCATGGGCGCCTAGTCAAACGCGTGTGTCTCTGAGTCTGCAACGTTGAGAGGCCGAAGCAGCCACTGGCGTTCAAGTGTTCGCTTTTGTGCAAGATGATGGCACAGGCAAAACTGCATAGACGCCATCAGGAAGACGGAACGGTTCAGGCGTGAGAACACAGCGAAACGCTTTCCCGTTACCCTAGAAACTCTAAAGCCCTCGGACTTAATGCAGCAGTAGCAGAAAAGCACTTCAAGAAGCAGGAGGACGATGCCACGCTGGCACCTGAGGCGTGCTGGCTTTTCAGTCTCGCAGTACTTCCCTTTTCGCGGACTTGACAGGCCTGCTGGAACCTCCCTGTTCCTGGGCTGCCTCTCTGCACAGAGTGCATATTTTTCAAAGTGTTTGTACTTTGAAGAAACGTGTGTAGGCCAGTCTCTGGCGCTTAGGTCCGTGGCTGCCCATGGGGGACTGTTTTATGAGGAAACACGGTTTTTAATGCATTAAAGGCCCTATTCGTGCAACTACAGCTACAGAACAAAGTGAATTTCTGCTGTTTCCCCATTAACAGACATACGTAAAGTTGTCTTCCCAGGTCGGCGGCTTGGTTGGCGCTGGAGCCTCGCGTGACGCAGGGGGGCCTTCGACGCTGCTGAGGACGGCTACTTTCGAAGAAAGCAGCGCTGTTTCAGCAAAATAATCCGCGTGTCATGCGCTATTAGCAGTTTCAACAAATCAAGTAGCACACTCACTCCCAATCGGTGTCGGGCAGAAGCGCTGCGTTGAGCCGCTGCCGACGAGCAGCAGCAACAGCAGCAGCAGACGTATAGGGCCCCTGCATGCGAAGAGGGTCGTATGGGCGCTTATGGTGTCTGCAAGAATTTATTTTGCGTGCCCTGGCTGCTTCATGGAAGCAGCGTTGGAGCGACACTGTCGCGGTGTGCGAGCAGCAGCGTCTGTGTGCCTCCCCCCTCTCTTCTCCCCCCTTCTCTTCTCCCCCCTTCTCCCCGTGTATCGGCGAGGAACCTGGTGGGACGAGCGACAAGCGAGCAGGCAGATAGAGAAAGGGGGCAAGGGGTGGCGTCGCAGGAAGGCAACACGCAAGATGTGAATGTGTCGGCCTACACGGCGCAAAACGAGAGGCATGCACATGCGTTGCAACACCACTACATTGCTGCGCCTGCTGCCGTGATAGCTTCTGCAATTGCAGGATTCGCAAGGAACGCGCTCGTACCATATTTTACAGCAGATCGGGGGACCCTTTGCACCACGCTCCCGCCTCATGCATGCACTGTATGGGCAACTGCTCGGCTGCTTACCGGCGAAAGCAGCCGCCGTAGACATCCAGGTACATCTAGAGCTGCCTCCCCAGACGCACCACAATGGATTCCATACAGCAGCAACAGCAACAGCAACAGCAGCAGCAACAACAGCAGCAAGAGCAGCAGCAAGAAAGTGCAGCTTTTGGGAGCAATTGGCCACCTTTGGAATTCCAGAGCAGTGCAAGCAACGACGCCGTTGCTCCCTCAGGTCTAAACGCGGAAGGCCCCCTCTCGAGTCGCACAGCAACAACAGCAACAACAACAGCAGCGAATACAACAACAACAGCAGCGAATACAACAACAACGACGAATACAACAACAGTAGCAGCAGCAGCATCATCATTACCACCATCACCAGCAGCGGGGCGATACACCCTCTCCAGGATAGCAGCCTTAGACATTGATAGCAGCGGCAGTTCCGATGAAGAAGGCGGCACTGGAATACTGCACCGCGTGGGCAGTCTCGGCTCTCAGCTTCGTCCTGTCAGTTCTCTTGAAGGAGAAACGTCGAAAAGAGCGGCAAAAGGCCTTTCTGCTGCTGCCTGCCTCGCGGCACTTGAAGACTCTGACGGCAGCGGAGATGAGGAGTGGCTTCAGTAAGCAGGCAGACGCTGACTGCAGCTCCACCTTCTGCTCATGCAGTGTTGCTGTTGGTTCGGTGTCTGGCGAGTGCTGTGGGGAGTTTCCTGTCTCTTGTATGCTCCTGAACTAACCAGGATGGGCCTATACGACGAAGGTAGAAAAAAAGAAAAGAAAAAAAACCGCTGCTGCTGTGGCAGCACCCTCTTTTCTGCATATATATATATATATTTATATATATTTATATATGTATATATATATAGTCGCAATATGTCGCTCCGGTGCTGCTGCAGCTGCCTTTTTTTTTCTCGCCGACAGGGTATGGCGGGTTGCATGGACACCAGCTGTTGAGGCTGGAATGCATGCATGCATGCATGCGTGTTTCTCAGGGGGCTGCTGCAGTCTGCAGCAGCTGCGCAACAAGCGCAGCACGCCACGCGTATGCCTCCCGACAGTACAGACAGCAGACCTAGCACACCATCGCCTTCGCCGCATCGACCGTTAACTGCTGCACATGCTGCTTCGGCAACAGCTTCGCGTGAAAGCAGCAGCGGGAGTGCGCTGATGCAGCAGGAAGTCGAAAGCCAAAACGACCCCCCCCTAGACTCCTCCCCGCCTCCTGCTGCTTTAGAGTTGCTCGATGCGAACGGAAGTGCCGAGCGTGAAACGGATGCGCAGAAGTCGCTTGCCTCCATGTGCGCAAGAAGGAAGGCTTTATGGGAGTGCAAGGCTCTTGCAAGCCGTGGCGATGCTGCTGTCGTTGCTGCACTGGAGCTTCCGCCTTCCAACGCAGCACCAGGCAACACGGCACTTACAACAGACATCCTGCTGCAGCCTCTCCAGGCAGTCGTGCAGGAGCTTGCTTTGGCCCCTCTTGGCAACGCAGTCTCGCCAGCGGAGGCTGCAGCGGTGGGAGTGTCTGAAGGAGGAAAGGCTGCAGCAGACGGGGGAAGTGCTGCTCTGCCTTTAGAGTCTTCTGCTGTCAGTGGAGGGCAGCACCCTGCATGGGGAGCGCTCCCTCCCTGCAGCACTGGGTAAGCGATTGTTTCGTTTTTTCTCAGCTGATCCAAGCGAATTCACACGCAGCCACAGCCTCGGCAACTGGACAGACTACACACGAGAGGCAGCTGCACACCTACACAGCTACTGTTGGATGGTGGTGCTTGTCGCTCTGTGCGTGTGCCTAGCTAGCTGCATGTTGCGCATCGACGTTGAGTGCGTGTCGCGTCTACACGCCTTGTTTTCGTCCGTCGCTTTGTGATTGCGACTGCGCAGTTTTGCTGCACTGCAGCAAGTGACTCGGTCTGCCGGCGTTATGACTGCTTTCACGCGCACTGGTGACTTTGTGGCGATTGGTACATCTCGAGGAGCTTGCGTGTTGTCTCGACTGATCTCCTCCTTACCTCCGGCAGCAGCAGCTGCTGCTGCTGCTCCCGCTGCGTCTGGATCTGCAGGTGCAGCAGGAGCAGCGAGCAGCGCTGCAGCGGGCAGCAGCGACGTTGCAGCAGCGGCTGCAGCGTTTCGAAAAAGGTTCACTTCATCCCGCTGTCTGCTGAACGCCTCTCTGAGTGCCTCGCATGCATTTCCTTCACCCAAGGAGGGTGCAGGCGCTGTAACTGCCCTTGCCTGCAGCACAGATGGAAGCCTCCTTTTCGTCGCTTACAGGAGTGGTATTGTCGCATGGATGGCCATAACCTCTTCTCAGGAGTCTGCCGATACACCTCAGCAAACGGATGCTCTAACGCAGCAGCAACAGCAGCAACAGCAGCAGCAGCAGCAGCAGCAGTTCTCGCTCCGACTGCTGTGCCTTGCCCGCACGGCGTCTCCCTCGGCTGCTGCTGCAAGCTCATCGCCTCACAGTGCCTCAGCAACGAACCAGGAAGGGCAGCAGCAGCAGCAGCACAGCTGCCTGTGCTCTGTGCGCTTCCTGGAGGGCAGCAGCAGCAGCAGCAGCAGCAGCAGCAGCAGCAGCAGCAGCAGCAGTGCCGGCGGGATCAGCGGGGGAAGTCGAAACTCTAGCACCACTACTACCAGCAGCAGCAGCAACACTACAAGGGGGCCGTTATTACACGGCGGAGGGGTCGGCGCTGTCATTGCTGCCGATGAGACTGGTACTCTCGTGCTGCTGCGACTGCATCGACGACTGCTATCCTATTCAACAGAGGAGCAGCTGCTCGCCACTGGCATTCGCTCGCTTGGTGCGTCTCTTCCTGTGTAGCGACAGCCGGAGAGCCGTCTCTTCTTGAATCCCTCAAACCTTCTCCCCCTCCCTCCCGCGAGAGCAGCGCGCCTATCTGTTGCATGCAGCTCTGCTTTTTTTTGCTGCTGCCGCAGGAGCGCTGCTCGACGTGCGGCCTATGCCAACGCTGTTGCCGCTGCTGCCTGAGTGCAGCTGCACAGCGAGAAAATTTTTCCAGCCTCAAACGCCGCAGCGGCAGGAGCTGGTCGTTGCTGGTGTGGCTTGCAGCAACGCTGTAGTTGTCTTGACGATTGCAAGCAGCGCTCATCTCGCCTATCGCTTGGACGTGTGTGCCCTTCAGTATATTCGCAGCAGAAACACAGACAGCCACTCCGGCTGCTAGAGTCTCTCCGTGCATCGCTGCCTTTTGTCGCGCTCAAAAAGCGGATAGTCCACTGCAGCAGACACCCCTGGCAGTCAAAGCAGCGGCAGCAGCTGGTGCTGGTGCTCCAGAAGCCGAAATCAAATGCGCCGAGCTTGTGAGACGATTGTGCGCATGCAGCTCAGCGAGAAGCCGCATCGGCAACAGCAGCAGCAGCTGCTGATGTTGCAGCAGCAGCAGCAGCCGGAAGTCATGCAGAATTTTCCGTGCATCTCTTGGCTAGCCAGTGCAGACCCTTTGCGCCGCCTCTTCGCGTCTCCTGTCTTGGCGGTTAGCTGATTGACACGAAATTCCGTCGTATGCAGCAGCCTTTCTCGGCAGTAGTAAAGCCCTCGACTGCATCTTTTACTTCGATGAGAAGTGTCGCTCTGCGTCTCTTTCCCGGTGTCTCAGGTTGCGGCTGGCACCTTGTTGCTGCTGCTTCAAGTGCACAGCAACGAGGTCAAGCAGCTCGAGCGTTCCTTCAATCTGTGTGCTGCAGCGCAAGTAAGCGGCACTTCCCAAGGGAAGGGGGAGGGAGAAAGAAAAGGATTGGGAGAGGGAGAATCTGCATGTTTTCGCGTAAGAGAAGCAGCACTACGAAAGCCTCCTACTTTGCGGTAGCATTCCCAGCCAGCCACTAGGCTACATCTCCCCTCCGCATTGTCAGCTTGTGTTGAAATGCATCCTCAGGCACTGGAGACTCTCGAAGACTCCGTGATCTGTGTGTTGCACTCTGCCTCGGTGCTAACCCTCTATCAGCTTGTTCAGCAAGAGTATCCGCAGCAGTCGCTGCAGTTGGTTCTCCTGCAGCACATCGACGTCGGGCATGTCAGGCCCCTTTATTACAGCTTCTCGACCACGTCTGCCATCATGCGAAAGCATCAGCAGCAGCGACAACAGCAGCAGCTGCTGCTGCAGAGACAGCAGCAGCAGATTAAGAATCACTCTGTACGCTCGTTGCAGTCTGAAAGCGCATCTGCTTTTTCAGTTATATCTCTTTTTGGCGGTTGTCGGTGATTGTAGTTGCACATGCGGCTGCCTCAACGCCACCAGCGTCTTGGCATGTCGCTTTTTTGCTAAAAAAAACGGCTTTAAGGAAGCTTCTCTCGCGCCACTCCAGCCGCTGTCGCTCGCCCTGCTGCGCATGCAGGCTTCCTTCGCTGTCGACAGCATGGCGTCTCATGCTTCCGCTAGCCAGGCAGCTGTTGGCTGTTGGGGGGGGGCACACCGCCTTGTTGCGCTGAGCTATGCCAGCACACTCATCGCGTCTCGCAGCAGCAGCACTGCAAGCGCTTGCGCTGCAGAGGATCTGGAGGAGCTGCGTCGCATTTGTCTGCAGCACCAGCAGAAGCAGCAGCATGTTCAGCATGCACCCTGCTGCAGCAGCTGCTGCGCCTGCCTCTGTGCGGTGGCAGAGGCTGCTTCCCGCAATACGTTTCAGATTACGGTAGCTGGACTGGAGGCAAGGCTCTCTCGCGAGTTGCTGCTGCTACTGGGGATAATGATGATGCTGCTGCCGTCAATGGCGATGATGATGCTGCTGCTGTTAATGGGGATAACGATGATGATGCTGCTGCTGATGGGGATAATGATGATGCTGCTGCTGCTGCTAGTGGGGATAATGATACTACTACTACTACTACTACTACTACTACTACTACTGCGGGAGATAATATTGCGGTCCTCTGCTACTCCCCACCCCCCCTTTTGACTCTCCATGTGTCATGTGTGAGAGCGGTGTGTTGGGGGAGGGTGTGGCGATTCGCTGTACAACAGAGGGCTGCGCAGAATTAATGTGTGCAGTCGATTTTTGTGCGACTATCCTCCATCTCATGTTTCCTCCACAGGGAATTCTTGTTCTGGAGCTGCAAAGTGTATTTAGTCTCCTGGGGTTTGCTCTACGCAGCAACCGCCAGGATCTCCCTCTCGCTATTGCTGCAGCAGCGTTGAAAGTATGCTGCCTTTTTTGCATGCTTATTCATGTGAAAGAGATCGAACTTTCCCCCTCCTCCTGCGAGTGCCAGTCTTCCAGATGCTGCTGAGTAGCCTGCCTGCAAGGCTAGACTCTCGTGTATTCTTTTCCTGTCCGTTGTTGTTGGTTCTCTTTTCCTCTGTGCTGATTTTGCCTCAGGGATCTGCGCCTCCCCTGCTGTCTCTTCCCTCTCATCCAGAAGCTCGAAGACTCCTTGCGGAGACAATCCTGCCTCCCTTACTTGCTGCAGCGGCTTCTGCATGCACTGGCAGTGTGCTAGGAGTTTCTGTGCAGGAGGGGCAGCAGCAGCAGCAGCAGCAGCAGCTCCTTGCAGTCGCCTTGGAAGCTGCTAGAGCGCTATCCTGCTGCTTCGACGCGTGCGATCTGCTGCAGACACCCGCACTGCTGCCGCCATTGCTGCTGCAGTGGCTGCTGGAGCAGCAGCAGCTGCAGCATGCACTCTACAACAAGGCTGCAGCCCTCCAGCAGCCGCCTCCGCTGCTGATTGCGGCAGATAAAAGATGCTCCGCTGTGGTGTTCGCGTTGACTACGCGGCAGATACTGCTGCAGAGGCTGCCTGCTTCTGTTCTACCCGACAGTTTGCTCCTGCGGCTGCTATCCTTTTACGAGTCTCAGCTTGAGACCTCTACAGCAGCTGCGTTCGGCAGCGATCCCCACATATCGCCTCCTGCAAAATCTGCCACGAGTGCTATCTTTGCGGCTGTGGATCTTCTAGGGCATGACGCAGTAGGAGAATCTGCGCTGATTCAGTGGCTGCAGCAGCAGCCTCGGACTGCTGGTGTCGATACAGCAGCGCAAGATCGCTTTTCTGCATTTTCGCTGCTGCTAAAGACTGTGTGTGGGGGGACGCCTACTCCCAGAGCTGCCTCTGCTGCTGCTGCTGCCTCTGCTGCTGCTGCTGGATCGAATAATAGCAATACCAGCAGCCGCGGCAAGGATTCTTGTGACGAGAGCGTTGAAAGGAGTTCGACAGCAGCTGCCATGGACGCTGTTGCAGAGTTGCAGCGCATGCGCCAGCTGGTAGAGTCGGTGCTCATCTGTCTAATGCAGCAGCAGCAGCAGCAAACGCCGCCTCAGCTGGATGTACACTCCATGACGCGAGTCGCTTGTGCGCATCGTCTGTGGACAGCAGCAACAACTCTGTTATACCACGGTGAGCCGCAGCGCATTGCATGCGCATGCTCAGCAAGAGGGGGGCAGCAGTAGCTGTAGCGGCTAGTGCGATGTTGCAGCAACGCGCGCAAGCTTGCCTTCGCGATGTTTTTTTCTCAGGATTCTCTGATTCTGTGGCTCCCTTGGAATGGCTGCTCGGGGAGCAGCTTCGCATACAGCGCGTGCTGCAGCAGCAAACACGGCAGTTTTTATGTTCGCCTCTAGAAGCAGCAGCAGAAGCAAACAATCCAGCAGCAGCAGAAGCAGACAGTCCAGCAGCAGCAGCAGCCGCCAGCGCTGCCGTTGCTGCCTTGAAGCGACTGCCCCTATTCGTGGCTGAGGCAGACTGGCAGCTGCTGCAGCTCCATTCGCTCGTTTTGGGGTATCTGGAGTGTATCTTCCAGCGCAAGAGCTTCCCCCTCCACGCTGCAGAGCCGTCTCAGTCTTCACCCGTAGCACTTCCAGGAGGAACTGAGTTTTCGGAAGAAGATCAACAGAGGCTTCAACGCGTGGTGAATTATCTTCTAAGGCGTCAAGGAGCTGCAGCCTCTGCACCGCGTGCCCTCTCCTTTATTTCGCCTCCGTCGTTTCGACACTCACAACACCCCACCAGCGAGCTGCACGAACCACCCCCTGTGTTGCAGCGGCTGCTGCTGCTTTCCAGCAGCAGCTGTGCAGCCTTGCTGGGGAGCTTGCTGCTCCTGCCTCTGCCGCGTGCAGCCTTGGCGCAACAGGCATTTGCAGCAGCTGCTAATGCGGAGTCGAGCTGCTATGAGGCTGGGATGCTGCAGCTGCTGCTGCCTGGCATAGCGGATACACTCACGTCCCTCCACCAGCAGTACACAGAGCACTGCGCCGCAAAGTGCAAACTCACGATCGCGGCTGCAGCGAGCGATTCATTCGAGAGCTCCAGCTGGGCATTGCAGAGTCTGCTGCAGCAGCAGGTCGTGCAAATGCAGCAGCTGCATGCGGGGATGTGGCAGCTTCTGACCGTTGCTGCGTGCTGCTGCACGCAGCAGCGACTGATCCACGATGAACAGCTGCTGGTGCAGCTGACGCGCTTCCTCGTCTCCGGGCACCCATGCAGTCTGCTGCTCCTGAAGGCATGCAGTAGCGGCATGTGGAGTGATGAACTCGAGACAGAAATGACGCAGCTGCTGCTGGATGGCGCGCTTCATGAGCCGGGTATGGCAGTTGATCTGAGCAGCAGAGGCACTACAGCAGCCAGAAATCCTGCTGCATGTCTCTGGACCCCTCGGCAGAGGGAGAGACTGCTGGTTCGGCTCATCGAGAACGTTGCTGCCTCAGCAGCAGAAGCAGCAGCAGCTAGAGAAGACGCCAGCGTACTAGCGCAAGTGCGCGCTGCAGTTGCTCCTCTGCAGCAGCAGCAACAGCTGCTCGCAGCCAGCGGGCTGTATGCTGCAGCCGCGCGGCTCTTTGAGGTCAATGGGGCCTATGATGACTTTCTCGGCTGCTTTCTTCTCACTCATACCCAACAGCAGCAGCAGCAGTCGGAGCAGCAGTCGGAGCAGCAACAGCACCAGCAGCAGCAGCACCTGTGTGCAGCACCAGAGCCTTGCTGCACCTCTCCAGCCGTGTCTTTATCCTGGCTCCAGGACGGCCCAGCGGATGTTTTTGTGGAAATACAGAGTCTCCTTTGCAGCAGCAACTGCAGCAGCAACTGCAGCAACTCGGAGGCAGGCACATCTGGTTGTAGCAGCGGCAGCAAACGTTCGTGGGGTATCTGGAGGCTGCGCCTGTTTGACAGCCCAACTTTTGCCAAGGCTGTCTGCCGCTTGTTGCCACACCTTCTGTCGCTAAATCCTGATCGCACGGGAAGCCTTATTACCGCTTTGCTAGAGGCTGGCGCGGGAGTGCAAGACGAGACTCAGCAGCTGCAGCACGCCTCTGAGCTGCTGAGGCTTTTAGAAGGCAGTCCTGAGCTGCAGGTGCAGCTGCTTGATCAGCTCCTTCTGCCTCTCGATAGCAACGGCAGCAAGCGAATTTACACACGCTACTTCACTTCCCCACAAGGTTACGCCAAGTTTTTGCAAGCCGAACTTCCCAGGCAAGTGCCGCTTGCAGCAGCGCCGCTTGCCGCAGAGAACTAGCATCGCCATGAGAGACGGCCCTTCACGCCTACAATGCACGAGCGACAGGATCATGCAGACTTATACTGAGTGTGCAGCGTTTCGCGCTCATCGATTCGTGAACAAGATGCGTGATTGCTGCCGCTGCTGCAGATATTTCTCCCTCCTCTGTGAGGTGGACCCCTCAAGAGCTGCGGCTGCACTGCAGCGGCTGTTGCCTCCGGATACGGCAGTGCCTCGCCCCTTGATGGATTCGCTGCTTCGCCTTGCAAAGGAATACAAGGCAATTGAAGCGTCCGCCACTCTCTTGGAGCTCAGCGGAGCAGTTGAGGTACGCCGTCTACGCCGCTCCATCTGCCGGCTTGCTCCTGCTACTGCTGCTGCCCGTCTCCTCCGATTCCTGTCTCCGAGGAGGAGAGCCTTGCGTCTTCGAGCGGCGCTTCGCGCAAGCGTGATGCGTGTTATCTTGTCTGTCTGTACATGTGTGTGTGTGTGTGCACCTGTTGCAGGGAACTCTGCGCTTGCTGGAGAGCTCCTTCACGGAAGTCTTGGAGGATTTCTGTGTGGCCTTTCGCGCGGCAAACTTCCCCGTAGCACCACTGCTACGCTGTCTCCGTCGGCGAGGCGACGTTGAACTCGCATTGCTTGCACCTTGTACGAAGTCTGCAGCCCCAAGTGTCTACATGCAGCACTGCCTCCTTCCTGCCCGCGGCGGGATGCATGCAGCGACTGGCGTCTGCGACGCTGGCAGGCAATGCGCGTCAACGAGAGGAGGCCCTTCCTCAGGATCAGCAGAAGCAGCAACAGCAAAAGCAGCAGCCGCAGGAGGGGGTTCAGCGGGAGACAGCTGGTGGGGAGACTGCAGGGAGCTGGCAGCAGTTTTCACTGTCTTGCATGCTGCAGACCGCGTGTGCCGCAGCAGCGGCCACTCACTGACACCCCGCAGGCGCCAGCAGCTGTGGAGACACCTTGCTAAGCAGACAGTGAAGGCTTATGAGGCGAATCCTTTGATTCGGCACTTCTTCGAGAATCAGCTGCACCCAGAAGGCCGCTCAGAGAAGCAGGCAAACGGATCTGCGCCAGCGGCAGCACCTCCCACTGCTGCTCTGGTTACTTTTCATAACGTGGCAGCTTCTTCTTCTTCTCTTTGTGGGGGTGGAAGACCGCAGCAATCGCTACGCTGTACTTTATACACAGTCGTGCTGGGAGAGGTGTTGGCTTCTGTGCTGCGCTGCTACACTTCCTGCACAACGAGCTGCAGCAGCAGCTTGGAGCGAAGAGCATGTTACCCGACAGAAGCAGCCGCCGCAGCTGCTGCTCTGAGTGACCTCTCCGAAGGCGTCCCCGATGCGCACATTGCAGTGCTAAAGCAGGCACTTGTGGGTGGCATTGCTGGTGTTTTTCTGCGGCTCTGCTCTTCTGACTTCTCCCCTCGCCCTCTTCTTCTGCGCTCTGGCCGTTATCTTGCTGGTGCACAAACTCCTGGGGTGTTGCGAGTTCGAAGAGAATCCTGCACATTCTTTAGAAGCTGCAGCCCAGCTGCCGTTGCCACGCTGCTCAAGCGGCGTGACTGGCGCCACGTGGGAAAGCTGCCTTCATGCATGAACAGGGCGCACCCCACTGAACACCGTTCCCTCACTGCCTTCCCCTGCTCCGTTGTATTGCGATAAGGCTGCTGCTGCTGCTGCCTCTGTGCTCAGGGTGAGCTGCTGTGTCACATTGAGCGAGATCGCTCGTTCGTTGCTGGAGTCGCTGACTCTGCAGCAGAAGACAGCCACGCGCTGCTGAGACTGCTGGTAGATCACCGCTGGAGAGGCCTCCCTGTGCGCCTTTCGGGAGGCAGGGGAGGCAAGGCAAGACAATGTTCGCTGTGCATAGCCTGTGGAGGTCCCTTACTCCTTCCACCCCCCAGTGCTGCCTCCGTCACTCCTGGCTGCAGCGGCGTCAACAGCAGCAACAGCAACAAGAAGTGGGCTATTGCTGCTTTCCCATGTTCGCACCTGTATCATAAGGCCTGCCTCTCAGACTGCTTCCGCTGCCGACTGTGTGCCTCCTTCCAGCGTCCCCCCATTAAACAGAGCAGCGGCACTTCTTGATCATTCTGTTTCCACTCTCGGGAGTGTTTGTTAGAAGAGGCCCACACGGGCTGTCATCAGGTCCGACTATTGGCTCATCCAGGAAGTGGCGACGCATTTTCTCTGCTGCTGCCTCCTCAGTGGAGGCAAACAACCGATCGACTTTTAGCATGCGTATATATATATCTGCCTAGGGGCTGTGTTTCTTTCTCATCGTTTTATTGGCTGCTCTGTTCTATAGGCAGACTAATGCAGGGATTCTGCCTCCCTGGTTTACACGTAGGTAACTGGATAGATAGCCCTTAAAAGGCGACACGGAGGCAGAATAGGCGTTAGAGAGAAGAAGATTCTGCAGTTGCAAGAAAGTTTTCATGTCAACAAACGCTAGGACAGCTCAGGGCTGAGGACGCGCCAGGCGCTTCCCTCGACTGAAAAGGAGCCGTACGGCGAGTCAGACGCAACGTGTGCTTTAGCGTTTGATAATGCAAGGAAACCCCTCAAAATAAAGCTACTCTTTGATATTTACGGCTAAATAAAGAAGGCTGCCGCAAGCTACGTGCTACATGAAGGCGTCTGCAGCCCATAGTTGTCTGTGTACACCACTTCCTAGGTGTGAGTTGTACTGCTGAGGCCTACTACCTCCAAGCACTCGTAAGCAAGTGAGTGTGAAGAGGAATATGGTGCTCGCACCGCGTTCCAGCAGTTTGTCCATATAGCTGCAGTAGCGGAGCTAAAGTTAAAATTTAGGCATGTACCGAGCGTGTGGTGTAGCTACACCTGCACTGCAGTTGCTGCCGAGCAAGATGACACCTATGCACTCAAAGAAAAGGTGCTGCATTCAACTGCTCACAGTGAGCACAACAGTTTGCGAAGGCCCAGAGCGCTAAGAGAGTGCAGCTTTGTGCGCCATAGCGGTCCTTCCCTTCCATATTATCGTGGAAGGAGGGCAATGAATGAGAGGGGGAATCTGAGAGGATACATTAAACAACTTCATCGTAGGATTTAATAGCGCTTTGGCGTACGATTCTTCCTATAGAAGCACACAAACGGGCGTTAGGCCTGAAAGCACGGCAATGGTTCAATGCAGCCTCCTCCAAGTTCATGCAATGGGAGCGAATGCAGTGGGGTACAAACGTTCGAGTTCACAATACCATATTTGATGTCGTTAGGTCCAAACCACTCACGAATCCATCATTTCGCCATCGTTTTGGCAAGCGCTTCTTGACAGAATACCCCCATAAAGTTAATTAAGCTGACAGCGGTGCAACACCCACTTGCATAGAAGGCCTCCCTGCAGGCCGAAGAAAATGGTGTAAACCAAAAACTCACTGAATGCTATCACTTCGCCTCCCACACAGTGCATTCAGTACTGCAGGCCAGCAAATCATATTAGCCACACATAGATGAGCTGACTGTGGGCAGTATGTCGCCAATGTGGAAAAGCATAATAACTGGTCGCTGTGGATCCCAAAGTTAAGACATACTAGTGTTACTTGTATTGTGCATGCTCGTAAGAGAAGCGCAACAATGTGGGTTCTATTTATGTAAAGCAAGGCAAGTCCGTGGGGCGATTACGTTAATACAAGTCCATCTTTAGCTGCTCGTGCGTACTCTGGAGTCTGCCCACTGCGTGCTCCCAGGCTATTCTTGCATAAGCCAAAAGATTTCGAATATTACAGTAGTGGGATATATGCTTCTTCTAACGTTACCATACGCTCCAGGCTACCGGGGTTAAAGCTCAGCATTTAAATCGCACCTCCAGTTGCTTTCTTCGCACTTGAATGCCCTCTCTAACTACTAACGCCTAATGCACCAGGTGCTCTGGACGCCCATAGTCTATCAGGACCTGTGGTTCCTAAAACGGATTAGTGCAGATGCATTCTCGTCTAAATCATAAGCAAACACGTTTTTGTGTGATACAATCGCGAGGAATGCTACAACTCCAGACTGGGTTGTGATTGTGTGTCAGTCCCCTTGTTAAACTCAACAACGAAGTTGTGCTATGGAGCAAGTGAAAAATTTGCTTTTTCACTGAGCTGCCTGTGGCTGAAGCTTCACATTCGCACACCGGGCCGAGGGCGAATCTAGTACCACGACCCCTCAACCTGCCTTGCAAGCAATGGTGCATGCAGGTAATTATTGATGAGGGAGCAGTCATTTAGTGCAAAACTTCGCACACATTTGG